GCGGTTGGGATTGTGGATGGACTAGGCTCTGTGGCTGCTGCTGGGCAAGGGGTGCTGGGCCAGAGGAGGAAAGGAGGGCCTTGGCCGAGGGACCCAGTGGACCAGGTGGTGGTGTGAGTCTGTGACGGGGGAACACGGGCCACGGCCTTGCCTCTCAGCTTTATGAAAAAGGGGGTTTGGTATGACTGTAAGGACCCCCAGCTCAGACTTCCTGCGATTGTAAGCATTATCACAAGTTTGCATTCTGGAGTGACTCCTTGGGCGGTGGTGGTCCCACCTGCCTTGGGCCGCATTTCGTTGTGTTTGTCACTCACTGGCCTGTCACTTGCTTAAGCGCTGTGTCGTGTCTCCTGGACAAGCTGTAAAATAGCGCAAGCTTTGGCGCATGGCAGGGTTCCCAGTAGACATACCAGGTATGTTTGTTTGCCTGGAAACACGTCAGGTGCATTGACGGCCCTGGTGTTGGGCAGGGCAAAGCTGTCTGGCATGCTGGCCTCCGAGCCCAGGCCAGGCACAGCCAGTGGCCTTGGGGACTGAATGCTTTGGGGGCCTGGATGTGCCTGGCGGTTCACCCTGAAGCCAACGCAGGCTCTGCTGGGGCAGCCATTGTTGCTGCTTCCAAAACACAGCTGGGACCTTTGCTTTTCCAGGAAAGGTCTGTTATTTGGGAGGTGGAAGGCTGGGAGGGAGCATGCCTCCTTGGCCTCTCCATTCCCCACATTCCTGCCAGGCCTGTGCTGATGCAGGGCTGCAGCCAGCAGCTGGTGTTCTGGTCTGCCTGAGGGTGGCAGACACCTGGAGCCAGCACAGGAAGGGAACTCGGAGACATCTGCCGGTCGTGGGACCCTTGGCCTCCAGGCCACATGCCCCTTCCTGACTCTTGTTATGCTGGGTTTTGTCTTCATCTTGCCTTGGGCACATCCACAAGCAACTCTGTTGGGGTACCGCTTTCCAGATACCCAGGGAGCCTTTGAATCCTAGCCAAGGGGGCTCTGGAATTCCTTGCACTGAGGACAAGCTTAGTAGCTAGGTGTCATGTTTTGAATGGAGGGTTTATTGTGTGTCCTTTTTCAGTTTGTGTGTTTAAGATTTAGTCATTCATTTGCAAGTCAGAGTAACAGAGGGAGAAGCAAATGCAGCTTCCTTCTGTTGGTTCACTCTGTGACGGCTGCTGTTTCACTTTGTGATGGCTGCTGGTTCACTTTGTGACGGCTGCTGGTTCACTCCGTGATGGCTGCTGGTTCACTCTGTTGACGGCTGCTGGTTCACTCTGTGACGGATGCTGGTTCACTCTGTGACGGCTGCTGGTTCACTCCGTGATGGATGCTGGTTCACTCTGTGATGGATGCTGGTTCACTCCATGATGGATGCTGGTTCACTCCGTGATGGCTGCTGGTTCACTCCGTGACGGATGCTGGTTCACTCTGTGATGGCTGCTGGTTCACTCCGTGACGGCTGGGCTGGGCAGAACCAACCAGGAGCTTTATTTGGGTCTTCTACGTGGGTGGCTGGGTTACACATACTCGGGCCAGCTTCTGTTGCTTTTCCCAAGCATTAGCAGGGATCTGGATGGGCAGTGAAGCATCTGGACACATGAGCTGAGGCCCATATGGAGTACTGGCATTGTGAGTCGTGGCTTTGCCACTATATGTGGGATTTTTTTTTTTTAAGAATTATTTTATTTATTTGAAAGGCAAGTTGAATCTTCTGTCTGATAGTTCACTCCCCAGATGGCTGCCACAGCCAGGGCTGGGCCAGGCCCAAGCCAGGGTCTCCCATATGGGTGGTAGGTACCCCTGGTTCTTGGGTCCCCTTCCTAGGTAGCAGGGCACCCTGAGACTGCAGCCTGGCATCCGTGGGATGTGGGCATTATAAGCAGTGTTAATGTGCTGCACCATGATGCCAGACCCTAACCGAGGCCTTCTGTTCTCTAAGTGGGCGACCCGTCCTGAGGATCAGTCATGGTTAGTTACCTTGACTGGATTAAGGAAAAGCTCGTCTTCTGGAAGAGCCTAGTTTTGGGTGTGTTTGGGAGGGACTTTCCGAAGGAGATTAGCCTGAGTCTGAGTGGACCAGGTGAGGCGCTCCCCCGGGGTGGTCTGCGGGTCTCGCTGGGACCTGGGCCAGTCGGCTCCTGCCAGGGCTCACACCCTTGCCAGCCCTCGTGGGCACTCCAGGTTTGGTTTCTCTGGTTGTCCCTATGTCCCAGGTCTCCAGTCTGCAGGTGGCCTGTTGTGGGCGTGCTCAGCTACTTCCTCTGCCTGTCTGCGCAGCGTAGCCATTCCGGTCTGTGGCATGACGAGGGGCAGCCCTGGGCACCAGTGATGGTTGAAGACCAGTTTGTCAGACCATGTTAGGTTGCTGGGTAGTTGAGCAGTGCTGAGTCAAAGTCGCTGCTGCCTCGCAGTGTGTAAATGCAGCAGCCCAGGACGTCGGCTGATGGGGTTCCCACCTGACAGACTAAGAAACGGAGGTTTGCTTGCTTAAAGGCAAAGTCACAGACCAACCCCTGGCTCGCTCCACACATGGCGCCAGTGGTTAGGGCTGGGCCGAGCCGAAGCCAGGAGCCTGGAAGGCCATCCAGGTCCCCGCATGGAGGACTTGGGCCGTTCTCTGCTGCCTTCCCAGGCGTCTTGGCAGGGAGCTGCATTGGAAGTGAAGTCGCTAGGATATGGACCAGCGCTATGCTATGGGCTACTTACCCACGGCACCCACTGTGCGTCCCAGAATGGAGGTTTGGGGAGTGATGGTGTTTCCTTGGCTTTAGACCTTGTCGCGCTTCCAGCGTGGGCATGAGCAGGCTGGCATTTTCAGGGCTGAGCCTCCCCTTTGCAACTGTGGAATCTCATGTGGACCCAACTCACCGGAGTCCACCTGACCCCGACAGGTCCCTTGTGTTAGAAACACGCCTGCCGGGTGCTCCGGGAAGCTTGCCTGGGGCCCAGCGTATCTGCCTCCATGTAGTTCCCATCCCCAGGGTCTTCCTGACATCCAGCATGCTGTGACAAAGGGGACTTGTGGGCATCAACTCTGAGTCAAGGAGGAGGTGTCTCAGTGGCCACGGGGCCCCCGTCTGCAGGGGCTGTGAGCTCGCGAGTCCTGGCTGGGTTGGGAGCTTCTAGGCCCCAGCAGCCACTGGCTACCTAGATCCTGGAGACTTCCCTGGTGCCATCAGCACAGTGGCTCTGGGCACGGTGATGGGAGTGACCTGCGTTGCCAGCAGCTTTGTTCTTGGGGCTATGCCAGAATCTGCCCGTTAGTGTCAGGGGCCTTGTGTGACTGTGAGTCTGGGTCCGTGTTCTGTCACCCTGTGGATTGGCTGCTGATGAGTTCAAGAACAGAATAAATGAAATGTGGAGAGCATCTGTTCTCTGGCTGGCTGTGTGGCTTGAAAGCTCTTCGCTCTCCTGCTTTTTGTGTTGTTTGATTTGGATTTGTTTCCCAAATGCCCGCCAGCGTGAGCAGGAAGCTGGCTCCCAGGTGGAGCTGGGGTGCGAAGTGGCTGTCCCGGGCAGCTCTCCGCCCTCTCGTGCTGCTCAAAGCCTGAGTGCGTTCCCTTGGGAATGAGACATCCTCCTGAAGGATGCTGAACGGATGGCCGAGGGAGCATGTGGCTCTGAGCGAAGCAGTCAGCCTTGCGTCGCTGCGTGACTTGAGCCAGGAAGCCACGGCCACTTTGGGTGAGGTTCCGGTCATTTATAACCCCTCCCTGGGACGCCTCCTGAGGGCAGCATCCCGGGTCCTCCGCCCCGCTCCATCACACTGGGGCTGAGTCTCCAATTTGTGGTGCTTGGGGCATACCACACCCATAAAAGCCAGGGACTTCCTCTCTGGTCTCCACGTGGATGCACGGGCCCACACGCTTGCTTGGGTCATCTGCTTTTCCAGGGACGTTAACAGGGAGCTGGATTGGAAGTGGAGTTTCTGGGACTCGAGCCAGCACCCGAATGGGATGCTGGGACTGCTGGCAGAAACTTTATCTTACATCATGGTGCCAGCTTTGCAATTTAAAATTCTAAGCAGAAAATGTCCTCGTTAGATGTTAGATGTTAGTGGCTTTGGATAAAAAGACTAGCTGTGTCTAAGACTGCCTTGGAGCTCGAGTTAATTTCAGGAAATGCCGGTAGGTCTCTGGAAGAAAAGGGGGCGGGCTTGCAAGGATGAATTGGCACGGCGCCAGTACTGCCGAGGGCATGGTTGCCAAGGGAACCGGGAGACGCAGCGTCTGAGAGGGCTGTGCGGGCGGGCTGTGCCTGGTGTTGGGGCGTGAGCATGGTGCTGGTGCCGCTCGCCTGCTGAGACTTCAGGACCTCAGGGTCATTTCTAGGTTGCTGTGAGGTTTGTCTCTATTTATTAGCGCTGCTGAAAAACAGGAAGTGAGGTAATATCTTTCTACACGAGTGTTAAGATGAACCGTACATGTCCAAATATGGGCGGCTGTGCAGCTCGCCGTTGTGGGGTCACCGTGCTGACGTCTAGGAGGGCTGGCTACTCCAGCGCCTAGGTCCACGTCCCCGGGGCCTGCCGAGGTGGGTGGCCGCGCGTTGGCTTTGGAACGCTGTCTAGAACCTTCCAATCGAGGCCAGTGCTGAGGCTGGCGCTCTGCGAGCAGCCGCCCTCCCGGACTCAGAGCATCATCTGAGTAAGTGCTAGGCATGCCGCGGGCTTGTTCGGGAAACTTGGAAATCACTTCATTTGGGCGTTCAGGACAGCCTGCTGAGCCGTGATTTGTCTAGACTTTTTGGCAGATGTATAAATATACTATTTAGGCCTTGAATTTATAGCTTTAGCCACGACTGTGGAGAAGGAAAAGCAGTTGAAAGGTACCCGAAGCTCCAGGTGGGTTTTTAAATCCTTCCCTAGTGTGGGTACCAGTGTAGGGTGTAGGGTGCGGTGTAAGGGTGTAGGGTGGGGTATAGGGTAATGGTGTCGTGTGCAGTGTAGGGTGCGGTGTAGGGTGAGTGGGTGCGTGGCTTCTTATGGTTCAGCCTGCCTGTGGCTGTTTACAAATGTTCTGAATGTTGTGTGGAGGGTGCTGAAGTAAACTTCTTTCCTGAGGCTGCAGGGTCTGGATTATTTGCTGGGGGGTTGGGCAGTTTAGTCAGCTGATGAGCACCCCCCCATTAACTTTGCAAGTAGAATAGAGCCGGAGGGTGGGGTGTCCCCAGAGTTGTGGCCTGCAGGGGAGGCCAGGTGAGGCCTGCCGGGGCAGCTTGCACCTGAGCCGTTCCGATGCGCAGAACCTGAGCCTCGGAGATGGCAGCCGCCCACCTCCCTGGTGCAGGACGACTGTGGTCTGTCCCTGGGCCCTTGGTCCTGAGCTGCTGGCCAAGTTCTGAAACATGTGAGTAGGGGCTGGATTGGAAGTGGGGCAGCAACTGCTCGGTGGCCGGCGGCCCCATACCTGCTGGGGACCCGTGTCCTGGTTTGTTCTGCCACTTGCCTCTTGTGGGAGTCTCTCTATTCCTGTGCCCTGGAAGCCTCTCCGAGGGTGGAGGCCCCTGTGTGCGACCTGTGGGTACCACTCTCGGGGCTCGCTGCACGGCTGGAGACGTGAGCAGTACAAGGTTAGGAGCAGGTGGCTCAGCAAACCCCTGGGACATGTGCTTGAAGAGTCTGCGCCTTAATGCCCTTGCTGGGCGCAGCTGATCAGAGAACTTTCTAGAGCATTTCCTTCCTGATGTGCATTTCTCTTCAGGATCCACAGATGGAGTCAGTGGAAAAGACAGCAACTCGAAGTGAGCAGAAGTCCAGGTGAGTGAGTCCAGCACCGCCTCCCCTCCAGCTTTGGGGCGCTCGGGCACCTGTGTGGGTCTGCTGGTGTGACTTAGAGCCATACAGGGGGAATAGAAGCGCTGGGGTAGGAAGGGCTCTCGAGGGCCCCTTGCTTCCATGTAAGGAACATTCTGGAAGGCATTTTCTGTCAGGGAAGTGACCATGATCTGGTTTCCAGACAAGGCAGCGTGCCTGGACAGGGGTCACCCCTGAGGCTGGCGGGGGGGTCACCCCTGGGGCTGGCGGGGGGGTTACCCCTGGGGCTGGCAGGTGGTCACCCTGGGGCTGGCGGGGGGTCACCCTGGGGCTGCGGGAGGCAGTGTGGCTGTAAACGGGGCTGGGTTGTGCCTGTCGCGCAGTGATGTGTGCGCAGGCCACACCAGCTGCCCTCTTCCCTGTCCTTGGAAGCAGAGGTCAGTAGGTCGTCATGGTTGTGTTTATTCTTACTTGAAACACGTGTATAGGCAGATGTGCTGCCAGGTGTGCCCCAAATGCCTGTGAGAGCCAGGACTGAGCCAGGCGGGAGCCTGGAACGCCACACGGGTGGAGGGGCCGCAGGACTGGAGCGCCCATCTTCCTCCCAGGTGTGCATTGGCATGGGACGAAATGGGACTTGAACTAGGCACTCCCGTGTCCCACGTGGTATCCTTTTTTTTTTTTTAAGATTTATTTATTTTTTATTGGGAAGTTCAATTTACAGAGAGAAGGAGAGAGAGAGAAAGATCTTCCATCTGCTTGTTCACTCCCTAAATGGCTGCAATGGTTGGAGCTGAGCCAATCCGAAGCCGGGAGCCAGGGCCTTCTTCCAGGTCGCCCACATGGGTACTTTGGGCCGTCCTCAACTGCTTTTCCAGGCCACTAGCAGAGAGCTGGATGGGAAGTGGAGCAGCTGGGTTAAGAACCGGCACCCATATGGGATCCTGGTGCTTGCAAGGCGAGAACTTTAGCCACTAGGCTACCATGCCGGGTCCCCCATGATCCCTGGGCTGAATTTCCACCCCCACAGTGGGTGTCAGTGATTGGCAGTATCGGGGCAGTTGAAGTCGGTGTGCTTTTCGTGGCTGTGGTCACTCGCACTGCAGCCCCTCAGGCTCCCCGAGGCTTTTCCACGCGCAGGTGGGACGTGAGCAGGAAGCAGCACGGGAGCCGGGTCCAGGAGCAGGAGGAAGGGACAGCATGTGCCGCAGGTGGCCATGCCACAGTTCTTGCTAGATTCCTCTGTTGATTCCCCTTCCTGCCTCCCTTGTCTTTAAGTAGGAAGTTCCTGAAGAGCCTCGTCCGGAAGCAGCCGCAGGAGCTGCTGCTGGTCATCGGGACGGGGGTCAGTGCGGCTGTGGCCCCGGGCATCCCAGCGCTGTGCTCATGGCGGAGCTGCATCGAGGCTGTCATCGAGGCCGCAGAACAGCTGGAGGTGCTGCACCCGGGTGATGTTGCCGAGTTCCGCAGGAAGGTGACGAAGGACAGGGACCTGCTGGTGGTAGCCCATGACCTGATCCGGAAGATGTCCCCTGTGAGTCGAGGCACAGGGGCTGGGCAATGTGGAGTCCATCTCTCAGCAGTCGGGGCCACCTGTGCTCGGGGTGTCTCTTGATGAGCTTACCCAAGTTGGAGTCCTTCTTGGGCGCCATGGTGTTTGTGGGGTTGGCCACATCTCTAGATGAGAACGGACCCAAGGCAGCAGGCAGGGTGGGAGAAGGGACAGCTGCCATGCCTAGGCAGATGTGTCGGGACAGGGAGGAGGAGGATGGTACCGCTTCCGGCACTGTGGGGGGTGTCCCTGGGCAGGTGCACAGGTGCGGGAGCTGCCGGCAGCTCCTTCGTGCTTCCCGGGCCGTGCAGTCACTCCCTCAGAATGGGGACATGTGAGGAACCTTCTGGGTGGGTTCCCACGTAGGAATCACGGGAGACAGCCCAGAGTACCCACGGGGACCCTGGGCCCCTTGCCGTGGTGATGGACGTGGTCTGGCCCCTGGGAGGGGAGAGGATGTGGACAGGCCAGGCTCGTGCCAGGAAGTTGCAGGCCTGCTTTGTCACCTCCTTGTCCTGAGGGACAGCCCTCGGGCAGCCTGGCCTCTGCATTTCTGTAGACCGTCCTTTTGGCTGCCAGCTCCACCCACCCGTGTGCTCTGGGGCATCTGTGGCAGAGTTGATGCCGCCAGGTGCAGCTGTGTGGCCCTTGGGGCTGGACGTGCTGACTCTGGCTCTTCCAGGCAGTGTGGAGGGATTGTGGAGCGCGCCCAGGGCCCTTGAGCTCTGAAGGGGCATGTGAGGGGGATGGGTGGCATTGTTTGTTTATGAAAGTCCCGTGAGGAGTTGGGCACCACCTATGTGTTGGTAGTGTGAGAACCAGCGAGCAGTGTGGACACGGCTGGTCCCAGGAACTACAGCCTGCTGCCGCACCCCCGTTTCTCCCCAGGCCTCCCAGCTGTTGTGCCCCTACTGCAGGTTCTGTTCCTCTCACGAGGATGAGGGCAGCTCTTGTCTGTCCTGCACGGTCCCTGCGCCATGCCAGACCTGTGTCCACCTCACCTGAGCGCGCTCCTGTGTGCCGAGGAGCCCAGGGTACCTGAGGCCCTGCTGACCCTGTCATCGCTCCGCTCCTAGCCTGGCCTGCCCAGGGCCCTCACGCTCTGGCCTTTGCATTGGTGGTCCCTTGCCCGGTGCCCTGGCTGCCCCATGCTGGCTGTAGCGGTCTCTCCCCTGTGGCATTTGTCACTCTGCCTGTCCTTGATCAGCCCCTCCCTGAGGCAGACACCATTGTGCTTTGCACCTGTCTGGGGGCTGCAGTGGCTGAGGGTGGATTCGTTAGTGACCCTGGCTGCTCCTCTCTGCAGCGCACGGGCGACACCAAGCCCAACTTCTTCCAGGACTGCCTGATGGAGGTCTTCGACAGCCTGGAGCAGCACATCCAGAACCCCGCGGTGCTGCAGGCTATCCTTCGCCTCATGGACAGGGGCACCATGGTGCTGACCACCAACTACGACAACCTGCTGGAGCTGTTTGGACAGCAGCAGAGCAAGCCCATGGAGTCTCTGGACCTTAAGGACAAGACCAAGGTAAGCCGAGGGCCCCCGAGGAGCAGCTGGGAGGACAGGGGGCTGCCGAGGGCCCCCAAGGAGCAGCTGGAAGGATGTGGGGCTGCCCAGGGCTCCTGAGGAGCAGCTGGGAGGACAGGGGGCTGCCGAGGGCCCCCGAGGAGCAGCTGGGAGGACAGGGGGCTGCCGAGGGCCCCCGAGGAGCAGCTGGGAGGATGTGGGGCTGCCGAGGGCCCCCGAGGAGCAGCTGGGAGGACGGGGGCTGCTGAGGGGTCTCCTGAGGACACCTGGGAGGATGGGGGTGATTGCACTGGCCTGCACATGGCGGCCTTTTGCACGCCTGAGGGTCACGCTTTGCACCTGCCCTTTTGGCTCTGTGTCCTGTGCCGGGGACATGGGTCTCTCCGTGGCTGTCAGGACTGGCTGGTTCAGGGTCACAGTGCAGCCCAAGGTTTTCAGCCCCGGCTCCGCAGTGCTGTTCTGTATCTTCCAGTCTTACACTGTGTGACAGTAACACTAGCAGACAACCAAAGCCTTTCTCTCTGCTCGGGGCAATTTTGTAATTAAATCCTACATTGTATTCTTTTGTCTTCCTTTGTTTATTTTCTCAGGACAGATTTCTGGAAGTTTCAGGTGAGAGGACATGTGGATTTTAGGGTGTAAAGGACCATAATATGTATTTTACACATTTAATAAGGGTTTTAGGGTTTTTTTTTTCATATTTTTTGAAAAGCCAGAGATCTTTTTTTTTTAAAGATTTATTTTTTATTGAAAATTCGGATTTACAGAAAGGAGAAACAAACAGAAATAGATTGTCTGTCTGCTGTTTCACTCCCCATGTGGCCTCACCGGCTGGTGCTGAACCAATCCAAAGCCAGGAGCCAGGAGCCTCCTCCAGGTCTCCCACACGGGTGCAGGGTCCCAAGGCTTTGGGCTGTGCTTTACTGCCTTTCCAGGCCACAGGCAGGGAGCTGGATGGGAAATGGAGCAGCCGGAACACGAACTGGAACCTGTTTGCAGCGTGTACACGGCTAGGATTTAGCCACTGAGCCAGCGGGCCAGGCCCTGGAAGTCAGAGACCGTCCATCTGCTGTCACTCCCCAGCTGGCCGCAGTAGCCAGCGCTGGGCCTGGCTGAAGCCAGCGGCTTGGAACTTGAGGGGCCACTCACTTGGGCCGTCTTCTGCTTTTCCAGCACATTAGCAGAGAGCTGGTTCAGGAATGGAGCAGCTGGGACTTGAACCCATCTGCAATGCCAGCGTTGTAGTTTAACCATAGTGGCAGCCCCTTCCTTCCTTAAACAAGAAACACGATGGTGATGTTTACATAGTCGATCAGGGGGGAAGGATCTAGGCTTAGGGAGAAGTGAGTCTGATCATTGTTTTCAAGCTTTATTTCTTCCCATTTCTGTGGGGAGGGGAGATAAAGGAAGAGGCCACACCCAGCCTCCCAGCCACCCCACAACCCGAGGAGGGGAACGGCCACCGATACCAACCCAGGGTCACCATGTGGCCACGCTCTGAGGGTTCTGCCTGGGTGCAAGCAGTAGTTGCAGAATGCTGTTGATCTTGCCGGTCTGTGGATGAGGAATTCCTTGAACGTCCACTGCTGAAACCATCGACCTTAGAGTCTCCAGTCATTGCTTGGCTGGGGTAGTTGCCATATGTTCTGTCTTCCATTCTCTGCTGCGGTGCCACATGTCCTCTGCAGGCCCCAGGGAGCCACCATGTCCTATGAGCACCATGCTCTGCCGTCTAGCACTCCATCCTCTACACCGAGGAGGACCAGTTCTCCTAGGTGGGCCCATGGACTGGGCACCCACCCTGCAGGGGGGCCCAAGAACCTGGACCAGGTGATCTGAGCCCCACCAGAACCCCCAACCCTGGGGCCCATGGACTAGGTACCCACCACACAGGTGGGCTCAAGGACCTACCTTTTAAGATTTATATATATTTGAAAGGCAGATTTACAGAGAGAGAAGGAGAGACAGAGAGAGACTTTGCATCCACTGGTTCACTCCCCAGATGGCTGCAGTAGCCAGGGCTGGGCCAGGCTGAAGCCAGGAGCTCCCACGTGACAGGGCTAATCACTGCGGTCACCGTCTGCTGCCCTCTTGAACCATCAGCAGGGAGCTGGATCGGAAGTGGGGCAGCCAGGACACAATAAGCTGACCCCTGTGTGCAATGGGCATCCCGGGCAGCGGCCTTACTGATTAGGCCCCAGTGGGGCTGAAGCAGCACGAAGTACACATCGGCCAGCATGGGGCCCAGCGTGGTGTCCACAGCCTGTGGCTGAGGTTCTGTGGATCCTGCGAGTGTGGGCCCTGGGGCGGGGGTGATGGCTCCGGCAGTCAGCTCCTGCAGAGACTCCTGGAGGCCTGGTTGGGGCTCCGGCTCCTGTCACTGCAGGTGCTTGGGGTGTGAAGCAGCGGGGTGGTGTGGGTGGGCTGGGAGGCTCGGAAGACTGTGTGAAGGAAGCGGTGTCTGAGAGTTGGCTGTAGTTGCACAGGTTGAAGACTGATTTTCTGCTTGGTTGTCCTCAAAGAAGAGCTTTTTGGTATCATGGCAAAAAGGAGTAACGCCGACAGATGGGCTTCTTCTGTGTTTTAAAAGTGTAATTTTACACTGAAACATTTTTCTTACTCTTTGCAAGATAGATTTGAAAGTCTGTACTTGCAGTTTAGGGAACGTTCTTACCTGTGAGGTAACTCTCCATCCTGGCCTTGGCTAGGTCCTGCAGTGGGCGAGAGGCCACATCAAGTACGGGGTCTTGCACATCCATGGCCTGTACACGGACCCCTGTGGGCTGGTGCTGGACCCGTCGGGGTACAAAGATGTCACTCAAGACCCAGAAGTGATGGTAAGCGTCTTCTGGGGCACACACACAGGGGTGGTGTCCCTGGGGACTTGGGTTGCCACCTGCCACTTGCTGTCCCTTCCCCTGGAGTGGCCCCTCCCTACGGGGTGTGGGGATGACCACACCCCATGTTCTCAGTCACAGCCACCACTGGCCCAGGAAGGAATGCATGGTTCTACAACACCGGTCTGTACTTCCTGTCTACGTGTCTCTTGCCTCTTCAGGGCTTTGTCCCCTGAGGGCTCTCCTGACACCCTGAGCAGAAAAAATGGGGAAAGTCCAGGCCTCCCAGAACCTTCTAGGGGCCTCCATGCTAGCACCTGCAGTGGCACCGTCTGTGGGCTCATCACCCGCGCAGGCGCTCGCTCCTCCATGTAGGGCCCAGGCTAGTGCCAGCTGGCACTGTGGCACCTGCTGCTGGCACTGATGGCAAACTCCTGCGCCCATGACAGGGTCCCCTCCTCACCTAGACCCTGTGCTCCTGGCACCCTCCCCTTCCCACACCCCTAATGCGCTGAGGGCGCAGCTGGCAGGTCTCACACTGCGCCCTGTGACCCTCCTGGTTTTGTCTCTCCCCTGAACAGTTGTCCACCCACAAGGCGATGGCAGCTGGGGACTGGCAACAGCAAGTGCACCTTGGTGCTGGCCACTGCCTGGGAACCCAGCAGCTTCCCCTGGTGTGCCGCCCACCAGCCGGGCAGGGCAGGCTTGGCACCGTGGCTGCCAGTCAGTGCCCGGTGGAGAGTGCCCTGCCCTCTCCTCAAAGCACACACAGGCGGTGGTGGGCTGGGTGCCTGCAGGCTCCCGCTGCCTCTTCAGCCCACGTTTGTGGCCTTTCCAGGAAGTCCTGCAGAACCTGTACCGCACCAAGTCCTTCCTGTTCATGGGCTGCGGGGAGACGCTGCGCGACCAGATCTTCCAGGCGCTCTTCCTGTACTCGGTGCCCGACAAGGTGGACCTGGAGCACTACATGGTGGTGCTCAAGGAGAACGAGGACCACTTCTTCAAGCAGCAGGCTGACATGCTCCTGCATGGCATCAAGGTGGTGTCCTACGGGGACTGCTTCGCCCACTTCCCGGGCTACGTGCAGGAGCTGGCCACGCAGATCTGCAGGCAGTCCAGTCCAGGTATGCGTGGGCTCCACCTCCCTGGGCAGCCCTGCTCGTCCTGCTGCCTGCTCAGGCCTGGGGAGATGGAAGTTGCATGCTGTGAAACACCCATATTTTACCTCTGTTTTGCTATGTTTTAACTACTGTGTGACTTTTATTTCTCTTTTTAGGATTCATTTAGTTGAAAGGTAGGGTTAGAGAAAGGTCTTCCAATTGCTGGTTTGCTCCCCTAATGGCCACAATAGCCAGGGCTGGGCCAGGCTGAAGCCGGGAGGCAGGAGTTTTTCCTGGGTGTTGTACATGTGTGTGGGGGCCCAAGCCAGAAGGCCTTCTGCTGCTTTCTCAGCCACATTAGCAGAGAGCTGACTTGGAAGTGGAGCATCCGGGACTTGAACCAGTGCCTGTACAGGATGCTGTTTAACCTGATGTGGCACAGCACTATTTCCGTCTGTGTGAATTAGAATGAGAAAATTGGGGAACTGATGTGCTGGTGACCGCCCAGGAGTGGCCTTCGGACGCGTTCGCAGGTGGACACTGTGGAAGGAGGTCACGGCAGCCCTACTGGTCCTTCTGAAAATCTGCCACATGGTCCCCGCTGTGACGTTTTATAAGTTACAGCTTCAGCACTCGCAGTGCTGGCCGCAGTCCTCTTTTGGGGCGTGGGCTGGTGCAGCGGTGGGACTGGGTGGAACTGCTGCTGCCGCCTGGGGAAGCCTGCTCTCCTGTTTGGGGCCTGGATTCAAGTCCCGGCTCCACTTCCAGTCCAGCTTGCTGTGATGCAGACCCCAGGGGTGGTAGGCAGGTGGATGGGCAGTCTGTCCATCCTCTGTCATCTGGCCTATCAAATAGAAGTTAAAAAACAACCATTGCCCCCATTACTTTGCTGTTCGTGGAATGGCAGCTCAAGTGGCCCGTTCCCTCGCTTTTAGCTCCCTCCCACAGTCCTGTGCAGGCGTCTGGGTTTCCTGTTGCGAGGAGCTGGCAGACGGTGCAGAATTTTCCAGGCTTGCTGACATCCATTTTTTATGGTACCAGACCCAGCCGTGAATGCCCTCATTCTGAGGAGGATGGCATTGAGCAGGCACCCAGGAGTCTCGGCCACTCCTGGAGGGCCCGAGTGTCCGCTAGAGGCCCTCACCTTTGTAAGATTTCCATCTGTGACAGGCAGAGTCAGGGATGGTCCATGCCCCGGGTCACCCCACAGTGCCTGTGACGGCCAGAACGGAGCTGCAGTGTGGGCACTCAGTCCTGTTCTCCACTTGGTGTGGGGGGGTAGTACCTGAGTGCTGAGTGCAGGAGCAGAGCCAGGAGCCTGGGCACTCCCAGTGGGCATGTGGGCAGCCAGATACCTGCTCAGGGCCGGTTGCTGTCTCTGTGTGGCACAGAGAAGCTCACGCCCACACTGGACTGCTCCAGATGCCAGTCCTGCACTTGCCTGGTGTTTTCTGGGATGGTCTCCGTTGGCACTCACTGTATGAATTACAGATGACAGGACGAGCCCAGCCAGAAGGGTGATTGTCCGGTTTGTTTCCAGGGACTTTTTGACTGGGCTGGCATGCTGGCTGCTCATGCTGCCCTGTCTGCTGCCAGCAGTCTCTGCTGGTGCACACACAAGCCTGCCAAGGCCCCTTTCCTGGACCCTGGCAGCTGGCGGGGCGGGGGGCAGTTTCATAAATTGCCTGAGGTTGGGAAGCTGCTGGGGTGTGTAGTCGGTGCCTTGTGTACCCACTGAGGAGGAGGACTCGTGTACCCACGGTCAGGCCCACTGCCAGGGCGCTCACGTGGATGCTGGCAGGCGCCAGCCTGCTCTGCCTGGTTGCTCAGGGAGGAGGGCTGCACGGGAGCTGCGCTGTCACTGTCCTGGTGGCGCAGGTGCACTTCCTAGGCCAGCGGGCAGGCGCTGCTAACACACACTCTCTCCTTTAGATGCTGAGCGCGTGGACAGCACCACGTTATTGGGTAAAGCACATCTTAATTTTGGCTCCACCTTTCCTTGTCTTCCTGTCACTGCTGGGGGAGTCGGAAAAGTCACACAGACTGGATGGCCTGCGGGCTAGATGGGGCAGGGAGGAGCCCCTTGCTTCACCTGCCACGCACGGGCAGGCACAGCCTCATCCTTCCCGGGTCTCTAGCCACAAGTCTTGTTCAGCCTTGGGGGTGACAGCGGCCCAGGAGGGCCATGAGGGGCTCAGCTTCCAGCACTAACTTCCCCTTTGGCTCGGGAAGTATGTGCCCCTGCCCAGTGGCCCTGGAGCTGGGAAGGAGGGCAGCTCAAGCTCTACCCTGGACTTCCCCTTCCCCCTTGGGGCTTTTCCTGTGTTCAGTGTGGGTGACGGGCACTCGGCGAGGTGTGACTGGAGTGGGGACACGCTTCCTAACATTTGCCTCTTTCAGGTAATGCGTGTCAGGACTGTGCCAAGAGGAAGTTAGAAGAGAACGGAATTGAAGTGTCCAAAAAGCTCCGCCAGTCGGACAGCGGTACGGTGAGCGCTGCCGCTGTGGGTGCCTGGCTCGGTCTGGCCAGCCTGGCACTGGGGCTGCTGTGCAGGCTATGTTCTAGAACCAGGGCAGATGTGGCTGGGCCCCTAGAATCCGTTCTCAGATTTTAATTGGAGAGTCAGAGACACACGGAGCTCCCATCTGCTGGTTCACTCCCGGACAGCCACAACAAATGGCCAGAAGCAGGCTGGGGCAGCCCGGAGCCAGGAATGTGGCCCAGGTCTCGCAGTCCATGGCAGCAGGTGTCCTGGCCCAGCCTGCCATGTGCCCTGGCCCCTTGGCCCTCTTCTCCTGCTGCCTACTGAGGCCTCTCAGCATTGATGCTGCTTTTCCCTCATCAGATGCCTCGTTTCCCCTTGTTCGGGAAGCACCATGGCTCTCATGGCTCTCAACACACATTCTCCCAGAGACCCTCGGGTCTCGAGCCACCTGCCTGCTGCGTGGGTGCCTGGCGGGTGCTCTCCTTGGGACCTGGGGTGGCCGGGGCTGCCCTGGGTGGACACTGGGTCACCCCTGCGCTGGCTGCTAGGTGGATTCCTGACCTGCTTGGCCTGCGCTGGCGTCCTCCCCTTCTTGTCACCGTCCCTGGCCGCTGTCCCCTGCACTGATTTCTATCGTCTCGGGTTTTCTGTCTTCATGTTTGATGTGACCTTGGCCTTCCTGGAGCTTGGTTACTCTGTGTTGACTCAGCCTGTGTCCAGCTCATGTCTGAGTGTGGGGACAGTGCTGCTGCAGTGACAGCTTTGCTTTCATACCTGAGGGGCAGCCTGTGGCATACAAGGCTGACAGGAGGTGCATGCCTTGGCAGGGCACGTTAGAGCAGCTGGTAAGGGCTGGGCATCACTCATCCAAATGTGAAACCTTGGACTGTCAGGTTTGGTAGGTCAGTGTGTGGAAACTGGTCAACCCTGAGCCTTCTGCGCCGCCAGGGGGCGCTTGCCTGCAGCATTGAGTCATGCAGCAAGCACTTCCGTGTAGACCAGCCAGTATGGTGGTGTTTGCTTTTTGATTTTTAAAAATGTATTTATTTGAAAGGCAGAGTTAGAGCGATCTTATATCCATTGGTGCACAGTCCAGATGACTGCAGTGGCCAGGAGCCAGGAGCTTCCTGCAGGTCTCCCACGTAGGCTGTTGTGTCCCCCCCGGCACATCAGCAGGGAGCGGAGTCAGCGGTGGACAGCCGGACTAGAGCTGGTGCTGCAGACGGAGGACAGTGCCAGCCCCCGTGAGCCGGGTGTTGACAGTGGCTGCCTGCAGCCCAGGGTAGGGGTCAGCTCCCCATCCTGATGTCCTGTCAGTCTACGGAGTCTCTGGATCTGCAGCCTCTCGGCTCAACCTCTTTCTGGCCTTCAGCAATACAGATCAGGAGCCCAGCCGCTGACACGCGGGGACAGAAGCACTGGCCAACGTACTGGGTGGCTCCTGGCACTGGGCATCGAGCTGCAGCTCTCCTGTCACCCGCTGGCAGCCCTCAGCACAGCTTGTCTCTGCTGCCGCTTTCCTGCTGGCTAGTACTCTAGTACCCCCTGCACTGGGTGGGGTGCAGATGGCACAGGGGCCAGATGTGGCCCTGAGGCTGCCACCCATCTGCCCAGGCCACACGCGTGGCTGGAGTTGACAGTGTGCACGGGGCCTTGCTGTCTTTCGCAGGCTGCTGTCCATGTGTATGCCACTGTGTCCTCAGCTGTTGCAGCATCCATGTTCATGGGCTAAGATGTCCACATGTCCCCTATGGGGTCCACCTGAAGTCATCACGTGAGCGGTGTGAAGCAGTTTGTCTGCCAAGTGCCCCTCAGGGCCAGCCTGACACTGTCTCCTTGTGTTCACAGATGATGCTGGAGGGTCCTGAGCTCTGTGAAGCCCGTCAGACCTGAGACTTGAAGACCAGCCTCGCCACCACAGTGCCACGACCCAGCACGCGGTCTCAGCCGGGAGCCCCCGGCTGTGTTGTTACATGGCCGGTGCTCGGACCCGCATCAGGGACTCTGGAAGGACTGATGGACAGCCGCCTTAGGGCCCAGCCCGTGGGCAGGCGTCCCCGGTTCCCGCTGGGTGCTCTCACACGCCCTATTCCTGAGGAGATGAGACCAAGACCATCCCTGCAACGGGAGCTGCCGCGGAGAACTGGGCCCGTGTGGTGCAGGTTCTGTGTCGAAGCCTGTTGCCGGGGAACGTGTTGTGTGGGGGTTGCGTGTTAAGTAGTAAAGGAGTAGACACTCCAGGCACAGTCCGCCAGTGAAAATGTCTCGTTCCTTGTGCTTCGGAAACAAAGGACAGGCCTGACTGCTGCTGTGCGGCGTGGGTGTCATGGACGAGCCGGGGGCTGAGTGGCGAGGCCCAGCATGTGACTGGGGAGGTACAGGCGAGGGTGAGACGAGCAGCGAGCTTTCAGGTGACACCTTCTGAGCTTTCCAAGTCTTTACCTCGGGGTAAGAGCTAATAACCGTTCTTATCTCCTAAGATACTCTTGCTGGGCCGTGTCCAGGGAGCGCAGGGAGGCTGCAGGCGCCCTGCATGTCTGGGGCTCACGACTTCCAGGGGGTGCTTCCTGCCATGCCCCGTGATGTGCCCACTGATGGCACTGCAGCTCAGTCAGGCCCAGACAAAGAGCAGGACCCATGCAGGCCGCGGGGGTGCCCGGGAGAGATGCCTGAGGCCTGCTGAGACCGGTTTCCCCTCTTTGAAGCACGGACAACAAATCTTTGCTGCTGTTCTGGTCATAAATAAAGCTTAAAGTGTGGCCTTGTTTGCTGAGGTCTCAAAAACTCAAATGGTGCATTTTGAAAGATCTATTGACTGTGAAGGCAGAGTTCTGTGGGCTGGGTGGGCTGGAGCTGCGAGCGGCAGCTGTCTGGCCTTCCCAAGGGCTGGCAGGCTCTTAAGCCGTCTCCAGGGGGTCTTCCCAGGTGTGGGTCGGGCTGGGCCTGGCATGGCACCTCACTGGGCTACCATGCTGGCCCTCATTACTGCTGCTGAGGGTGGTTCATTTAGAAGAGCTGGGCATCGCACCTGCGGCCTCCTGGCATGCTTACACAGGTGTGATGCCAAACCCTGTGCTGGGTGGGCGTGGCTGGCAGGACCTGCTGGGCAAAACTCTGTACATGCCCAGTTGCCTGGTTCCCTTGAATTCTGAATCTCTTGTGTCCTTCCCACAGGCAGGATCAGGTGCCATGCTCTGCCCAGTGTCTGCACCTCTCTGCCCCGTGCCCTTGGGGCTTGGGAGTTGGACTGGCCTAGCAGGAGGCGACAGGTGCCCCGTGCCTGTGCGGATGGAGGCAGGCTTCTAGCTGGCGGCATGACAGACACGCCTGTCACACACAGGATGGGCTCACAGCACTGACCACCCCCGGGGCAGGCAGTCTGCTGGCCAGGCAGAACGCTGAGGTCCCCGGGAGGCAGTTCTGTAGCAGCAGCAGAGCAGCCAGTCGGCTTGTTTTGGTGTGAGATGGACAGGCTTCATTCCCGCGCTTGCCAGTGCGTGAGAGCCATGACTTATTCCAGCATGTTTGGACAAGTCTAAAACTTCTTCTAAAATGGCACATTTGAGACATCTGAAATTATCTTTTTATTGCTGTTTTTCAACATGGAGATGCAATTCCTCAAACAACAGGCTCCTGTGAAAGCCAGGTTCAACAACTTGTCAGCTGCCCTGACAGCCAGGTGCCCCCTGAAGATTATTTAAAGGTAGAGGGCGAGCCCAGAATGAAGAGGATAAAGAAAATTCAAGATTTTTCTGACTAGTTTGTTTTACATTAAGGCAAAAAGTTAAATCTGATGGTATAAATTTTAAGGTGGAAACAGCCTCCCCCTCCAGTGCTGTCAGTAAACAGCAGGCATCGTTCAGGGAGGCCCACACCCACGCCTGCTGGAGACGTGGCCGTCCTCATGGCCCCAGGTGGCCCTGCCTGGACCGGATGCTGGTCAGTCAGGAGCAGCCCAGCACTCGGCCGCCGTCACAGGTCCTGCAGGCTGCGACAGTGGCTCCTAGCGGGACTCGTCGTGTCTGCTGCCCTCCTGGCCCTCCGTGTCGGGGTACTGCGAAAGATCGAGGGTCAAAATGCGGCTGAACATGCAGTCATCGTGCTGGAGTGGAGAGAGGACAGGGTGAGTGCCGCCCGCTGGCACCAGTCAGTGACGTGCTGGGAGCCACTGCCCCACATGCGTGCCTCATGCCAGCCCCCTTAACGACCACTCTAGGCACAGGACTGCCTTTGGAGCTTAAAGCCCGGCTCGCCACTGGGGCCCAGGACGAGGCTCAGGGAAGCATTCTGGTGGGATAAGACGGCCGAGCTGATCCCAAGTTACTGAGCAACCTGGGATGTCTGGGCGGCGTCCTTCCTCCCACCTCCCACTACAGAAACGTGTGCAGCATGTTCTAACTCCTGCCCACTGTTCTAGAGTTCTCCATCTGCTTCACCTCCGTGCACTGTCCCAGGAATAGACCCTGTGCGGTGCCCAGTGTGGTCTTGCAGCCTGCTGGGCCGTTACCTCCGGGTAGATGCCGATCAGGGCGTCGGCCTTGGAGTAGAGCTCCTCCTTGAGGGAGATGATGATCATCTGGGACTGCTCCTGTGTCTGCTGCTTGATGTAGCTGGCCACCTGGCGGGACAGAGGGCAGCTGAGCGGCACTGCAGACACAGCTCTCCACCTCAGGCACCTCTGGGCATCGCCTGTGCCTGCCCCACCTTTGTTCAGGTCCCACTACGCCTGACCCCCAGCTGGCCTTCTTCTGGGGCAGCTTGAGCTGTCTACAGACCTGAGTGCTGACCAGGTGTGAGGAGTCTGGGGCCCTGCCTCCCTGTCTGTGTAAGCCCAGTCATGAATTGGACACATCTGGATGCAGCTGGGCAGTGGGGGGGGGGCAGCATTTTGAGCTCCTGGGATTTTACATAAGGATGTTACTTTGGTGTTGACCCCAGAGAGCCGCTTCATCTCTGTGCCCTAGGCCTTCAGTGTGGGACCCTAATTTGCAGCAATAAGCACAGCTTTGTCTGCCAGCAACAATCTGTGGGCTTCCCAGCAAGAGCAGAAGGCAGGCCACCCGGAACGGCCTCTGCGGGAAGCTGGCTTTGTCACGGCCAAGTGCCTCTTCCCACGACCTCAGCCTTGCAGGAGACCCAAACACAGAAACTCACTTTGCCGATGTTGGTATTGTCCAGGGCTGCATCCACTTCATCTAAGACAAAGAACGGAGCAGGCCGGAAACTAGAAGGGAAACACAGTCATTTCCTTTGCTTTATAAGAGGATGGAAGGAGAGTGCAGAGCAGAGGAGCCCCGGCCCGCTTACTGGACCACACCCTCGTGGCTAAAGCCCTGCCGGCTGCCTGGACTGCACCTGACAGCCCCCACACTGCCCACTGGGATGGGGAGGCCGCCGCGCGCTGGGAGCACTGCCCACTGGGATGGGGAGGCCGCTGCGCGCTGGGAGCACTGCCCACTGGGATGGGGAGGCCGCCGCGCGCTATGGGAGCACTGCCCTGAGACTTGTTAGGACACGGTTGCTTCTACTGGAGGCTCTGCTGCCAGCTCCCAGCCCACACTGCCTCCGCTTGCTGCTGGGTGTCATCCTTGACCTGCCCCTCCAAGTCAGGCCCTCTTTCTGCTGGTGGCACCTATGAAATCACTCCAGCCCATGGAATCATCCTTAACTACTTTACAATGTCAGTCTTTCAAAAAAATTTTTTTTACATTGCTAAGAGACAACATTTTTTATTTGCTGGTTCACCCTTCAAATGCCAACAGCAGCCTGGGTGGGACTGGGCCAAGGACTCCAACGGGGGTTTCCCTCACAGTGGCAGGGTCTGAGCAGTCGGCCATCATCTGTTGCCTTCTTGGGCTCTGCAGCAGGAAGCTGGATGACAAGTGGAGTCATTAGACCCTGGCAGCACCCTGTGTGGGGTGTGGGGCCCAACTACTCGGGCCCCTACCCCTACCTGGAGGGCCCAGAAGCTCCCTGCTTGGGACTGGCTCAACTTTGCTGGAACCATCCCAGGAGTGCAACAACAGATGCAAGGTTGATCTCTTTCAAACAATCTTTAAAACCTAACCTTGTTGAGCTGAGGAAGCCTCCTTCGCTGCACAGCCTGTGGTGTCTGTGGGCAGGCCCCAAACTTGGTTTCCGCTGTGACACAAACCGTCCAGCGCTCAGGGAGCTCACCTGTGAACTGCAAAGAGGAGAGCCAGGGCTGCCACACACTTTTCTCCCCCCGACAGATTGTCCATGGGCATGAAGCGTTTGCCTGGGGCCACGCAGTTGTAGCTAATTCCTTCCAAGTAGGGTTCTTCAGGGTTCTCTGGACTAAGAAATGCCTGAAACACACATTATTTTTTTAGTGACAATGAAACAGCAATCAATGAACCACCACTTGGGGTTGCAATGGAGTTGACTGCCTAACATTCTGCTGGCCAGGCTTTCCTCAAGTTTAACGGTGTCCAGTTACACATCTGATCCTGGACAACAGGGTTCCCAGGCAGAGAGAAGCATCCTAATATACCCAAGGGTCAGGCCTTTCCACCAGGCTACCCTTCACAATTTAGCAGCATGGTTCCAGGACTTAAATAAGCACACACAGAAAATCCCACAGAAGCCATATTCATTCAGTTCACTTGCTGGGCCACTCTTCAAATACGCAGTGAGCACCGAGTACGGGCAAGGTTGTCGGAGACAGGCATGACCCTATTCGCAATCCTGCTTTACTAAAAACAGATGGAAACTCAAAGTATCTTGCCCAGAATCACCTAAGTTGTAAGAGTGGGAGGACAAAGCAGCACAGCAGGCCCTGGGCCCGACCGACACTGCATTCCACACTTAACCCCAAAGGCATTAGCTGTGGATGCTGAGACTGGTGGGGGTGGTCAGACACGGCCACGTGAAGCGGGCTTAGCCTTGAGTTCTCTCCCTGCTTACTTGGGTCACCTCCTCAGATAAATGTATCTCAAAGATCCCTCCTTGTAATGGTGTCAAGTCAGAGTCCCACAGCTGGACTGGGAACCAAGTGACCTGCCCCACTCACACCGTGGGAGAGGCAGCAGGCCTGCAGAGGGGTGGGCCTGTCCAGATTGCCCAGGTGGAGACAGTGCAGCAGACAGCCCTCTAAAGTAAGACACACAGGAGCAGGCTACAGGGTGACACGCACACACCTGCGCACTGGCGTTCCTGCAGAGCTTCTTGTAGATCTGGTCGATGGAGACGGAGACGTGCTCGAAGCACTGGCTGAAGAGGTCGCACCGCCTCTTCTTCACTTGCTCAAACTCCTGCCTGCACATGCGCGCCTCCCTTCTGCTGGCCTCAAAAGCTACAACAAGATGGAAGCTCTGCATTTTACAGACCTCTGAGACGCCTCTCTCAAGCTTTCAGGTATAATGATTTCCCACGTGGTTTTGAGTTGGGTCATCTTGAGTAGATCACCTTCCTCTGAGAGCCTGGCTCTCGTACCAGGACTCACTTCCAGCAGCCACTCACAGGTCCCGACTGAGGACTAAGAGCTGACTCGCTGTGCTGTATGCTGGGGGTGACTTAAGGTAACCAATAACGCTGGCTTTCAGTTCAAGTACAACTGAGTGACTGAGTATTAGAAGCACTGTGCATGTGTACAACAGACAGGACTGCTGCGTGCTGACCCCTGACCCCTGCCCCGGGAGCCCCGCTCGCCGTCCGTGGACTCTTAGGGAGGACTGCTGCGTGCTGACCCCTGACCCCTGCCCCGGGAGCCCCGCTCGCTGTCCGTGGACTCCTAGGGAGGACTGCTGTGTGCTGACCCCTGCCCCGGGAGCCCCGGGAGCCCCGGGAGCCCCGCTCACCATCCGTGGACTCCTGGAATTTGTCGCGGACGGTCTTGAGGTTCTCCAGGGCTCGCAGGTTGGGGGCAGCCGTCTTCAACAGGACGTCCTCCTGGGACGCCACCTGCTGCAGCAGGAGCCTGAGGTGGGCCTCGACCTCTTCATCGGACTGCAGGGCCTGTTACGGTGAAGAGCAACCCCGACAGACCCCGTTCCGCAGCCCAGCGGCACGAGGAGGGTACATGAGGCCCGTCACAGTGGCAGGTCACTCCAGGGTCGTTTGCTCCCAGAACATGCTGCATCTCCACCTGAACAGCAACCTCTATGCATCACCTTCACTATCCATTACAAACACCGGGCATCTGCTGTCAACGGAAACTCCTTGCTGCTAAAAGGCTTGTGGGAAGCAGCGTCCAGACGCATGTTCACAGTGTACAGCAGGGTGAAAAGATCCCCAATCACGCAACTGGAGCTTCTGTGGCAGCTCAGCTGCAGGTCACGTGACTAAACCTGGACGACGGACATAGCCTACTTGACCGAGGGAGGGTCAAGTTTCGTAGACACGCCTGTAGGTTGTCTGGACCACCCAGAAAGGGTTGGCTAAACTGCTACTTAGGTCTCTTGCACCCCAAACTGGAAATGGTTTGAATCCAGGCTGTTTCAGTTCTGACCCAGTGTCCTGCACCTGGGAAGGCAGCGTGCGATGGCCAACCTCAACCCAGATGGAGTTCCAGGCTCCTGGCTTCAGCCCGGCCCAGCCCTGGTGACTGCAGCCATTTGCAGACGAGCCAGTCCATGCAAGACTGATCTCTGTCACTCAGCCTATCAGGTAAATAAATGAATAAAAGTTAAAAATTCACTGTCTCTCTCTCTCAAAACTTTTATTGGAAAGTCAGATTTACAGAGAGAAGGAAAGACAGAGAACGAAAAATCTTCCATCCGCTGTTTCACTCCCCAAGTGGCTGCAATGGCTGGAGCTGAGCCAATCTAGAGCCAGGAGCTAGGAGCCTCTTCTGGGTCTCCCACGCAGGTGCAGGGTCCCAAGGCTTTGGGCTGTGCACCACCACTTTCCCAGGCCACAGGCAGGGAGCTGGAAGGGAAGTAGAGCAGGTAGGACATGAACCAGCGCCCATATGGAATCCTGGCACATGCAAGGTGAGGATTTAACCACTGAGTCATCATGCCAGGTCCTCTGACTTCAAATAAATCTTTAAAAAGAAAAACTGCTAGCAAAAAGACCATTTAACTTGGGTACTTAAAAAAAAATGTTGTTACCTCATATCATGCATTACATTTCAGGTTAAATAGACAAAAAATACACAGAAAGAAAATATTAACATTCACTCCTTCATGTGCAGAAAGATGTTTAAAATGCAAAGAACAGGAGAAAGTAATGAAAAGAATACAAGAAAAGATGATATGGCTGTCTAAGGCTCCAAGCAGAGGCCAGCAGGTGCCCCGACGCCCCAGGGACCGAAGCTCAGGGGCTGCGGCTCTGCACTTGCTGCCCATGTCCCTACTTCTAGTGGCTGTGTGCCCACCAGCCGATCCGTCTCCTCCCCAGGGGTCCCTGTGCAGTCACTGGGTGGCCCTGCATGGTCCAGGATCCAGTCCCTGCCACAGCAACTGGCTCAACAAACAAATGTGGCCCCATTCAGCTTTCTATGCCAAGGGGACACTTGCTGGGACTTTGTAGGAAAAAACATTTCATCCATCTTAGCCTCCAAAAGGCAGGGCTGTGTGGCTGCCTGCCTGGAAGCTAACAGGAATGTCCCTGCTTGGCTTGCAAAGCATGCAGAGCCCGAGGATAAAGCCAGCACGCAGGAATAATGAATGGCTGCTACGCTGCAGGGACACCGCAGCCTGGGCAGTTTGTCATAGTGTCACCTGCCACACTGTGGGAGGGACCCTGGAGCCCGCTGGAGGTGTATACTGGGATACAGAGGGCAAAGGCACAACACTGGAGCAGATGGCTACTTCTGTTGATTGCTAAGCTTCAGGAAGACTTGTGTCACTCAGGGTGAGCCCTGACTTGCTCACTACGCAGTTGACAGCCGACCCTTCCCTGGCTAGACTTTTCCAGGTCCAGGGCTGTGCAGAGCCCACCGTGAGGCACTGAACATGGCCTCACGGCTACTGCTGTCCATGCGTTCTCTTGTCCCTGGCCATTGGAGTTCGTGCTGGTGTGCTTGTCCCTGCAGTGCTAACAGCAGCCCTGAAGCTCCCTTAGTGACCCCTCATGACTCTGGCTGCAGCAGCTGCTATGCTGGGAGCACGGGAACATGCTCCCTGTGTGGCCGGCAGTGCCCATACCTGGGCTCATGACTCTCCCTGGTTGCTGCGCCTGAATTGGCACCCTAACGATCAAGCAGGTGTGCTGGGACCTGAGCCTTGGCACCCAATGACCAGACCCAAGCAGGAGCTACGGAAAGCCAGTGCATCACTGGTCACCAGCCTGGACCGAATGGTGACCGGAGGGGACAGGCCCGGCCTGTGCACTCTTATGTGGATTACAGGTGGGTGGTGCTGGGACTGGACTGAGGAGCAGGCTGAGCAACCAGCCAGTGTTCAGCGTCAGAAACTCTTAGTAAAGGAGAACCTCTCGCCTTGGCATGGACCTGCAGTAGTGAGGCGGTGCCGAGGAGCAGGACGCTCACTCACCTTCAGGTCCGCCCGCAGGGAGCTGTAGTCTATCTCGATGGCTTCCTCTTTCTCGTAGATGTCAGTCGTTGCCTGGGTACTCTCAGTGTCGGTGCCCAGCTGAAAAACACACGCAGCTCTGTCCTTACAGCCGCTGCTCGCGGGGCCCTCCGTGGCAGATGTGAGAATACACGGAGCTGCCACTGGGAGTGGTTCCCCGGGGAGGTCTCCTCCACAAAGCAGAGATCTCCGAGTCCTGCCAGGGTAGGTGAGTGGCCTCCAAGGGCAGAGGGGCCTCAGGTGCCATCTCCCAAGTGTGGCGAACCCACAGGGGCAGCCTTGAGGGACTTGGAGGAGCATGCCTAAACCTGCTAGCCTGCTCTGAGCCCCAAGTTCGCCTTCAGTCTCCCAGAAGGCCAGGCTCGTGCAAGGCCACTCGGGCTCCGCCACAGCGTCCACAGGCCCATGTCCCCAGGCTTGCTTTCAGTCTTTGGAAAACGACTGTAGCCTATGGACCTTGGGAAAGAACGAGGTTCCTGAGGACTAGGAAGGCTGGTGTTTAGGACTACGGTGTTGTGTAAACTACGACCCACTAACTAGGTGTTCTGGCAGCGAAACAGTGCTAGGGCTGTCTGTCCTTGCAGGCTGCTTAGACAGCCAGGCAGGCTGGACGTAAGAGAAGTTGGAGTAAACTTGGCACCTTGGACTCCTGATCCTTGGTCCCTGTCTTCCTCCTGTGACAATGCCCCCACTCCCAATCCACAGGTGGGATCTCTGGGGTCTCTGTTGAGCCCTTCAGACAGAAAATTCATACCTATCACCTCCTCAGTTTGGGCCTTTATTTTTTTCTTTAAAGCTTATGTCTAGCTGTCAAATCAGTGTACATGTTTACAAGGTGAGGTGTGAGAGTTTAACATGGTCCAAGTAAGGTATTTCATATTTCTCTCCTTAAACATAGCTCCTTGGCCTAAGAACCTTCAAAGCGCTCCCTGGTTCTCTGCAAAGTAACATGGTGCTGGGGACGCAGCTCACCTACTGAGTGTGCAGCGTGCAGCTCGGCCTCGCTCCTTCCCCTCACGAGCTGCCAGGGCCAGTTCCCTGCCACCCTGTTTCTGTCCCCCTTCCCTCCACAGCCTCACTGTGCCGTGCTCTGCTCAGTGCTGGGTTCTGCTGCCAGCAGACCGGCTCTCCTTTTCCATGCACATCCACTAAGTGGGGACGTGACCCGGAGGAAGCCCACCTCCCCTCTTCTGCAGGACATTGTGGGAGGAGGAAGGAAGAGGGCTCTGACTGGGGCACAGCCAGTCTACACTAGCCCGAGTCTGACATGGATTCAGCCGTGCCTGCAACCCCACCCCATTCAGGAAGGAGCCACAGGGCAAGGGGAAGAATGGGCAGTCAGGGGACTGGTCAAGGCCCTCAAGGCCCTCAAGCTGTGGTACCCTGAGACCGTCTGCGCAGTACCTCCACGTCAATGATGTCATCCAGCGAGCCCAGCAGCAGGACAATGTCGATGTCCTGGACTTTGCAGTCCAGCAGCACGTTGTGCTTCTCCAGCCGTTTCTGCTCCAGAGAACTCTGGATGATCACAGCTTTCTTCTGCAGCTTCCCCACTTCCCTGCAGACACACAGAGACCAGAGGCTGACACCAACAAGGACCTGCACTGCAAACTCACACGGCAGAGAGTGTAACCCATTCCGATTGATGGTATACATGCTTAAAACGCTAGTGTGGTTTTTAAAGTTTTATTACTTATCAACAGCCAAAAACTTGCTGCGTCCCTCTTCAATCTGCATCTGAACTTTCTCCGCACTGGCGCTCTGAGTGTCACACACGTCCTTCAGCTGCTGCCGCTTCTCCGTCAGTTCATTCACCATCTGAAGGCAGTTCTCTTCAGCCTGAGTGCAGAGAATGTGCGCTGGCAGCTCACCCTCGCGTCCGCTGCCAGCAGTCGTCGGCAAATCCCAGCCAGCCATCCAAGCACCTCACTGTGCGCAGCTTGGCCCACGCACACCATCCCACGCACAAGCCGAACCACTGTCCAGCTTCACCCTTCAGCTCAAGCTGCTCTGCAGCTCTGCCACCTGCTGTCTGCCCACTGGCCCAGCGGAGCATTCTGGCCACAATGACCCCTTCTCAGGACAGCCCCCTGGGCCTCCCGTTCATTCCCACACACAGCCACTCTCTCAGCCCGCCCCCCATGACAGAGCTCAGGGGTTCCTCAGGGCCCCTCCTGCTCTCCCATGAAGGACCTCTCAAGCCCGCCCTCCCCACGCTGGTCACCGCCAGGACCCAACACAGCAAGGCCTCTTCAGGGAAGGGTGCTCCAGTCACCCAGAACTGATTACCTTTGTCAGGTTGCCAATGTCCTCCATATCTTTCTGGAGAGTTTCTTTTAATGTACTGATCTTAGCCAGTTTCTTCTTAAGCTGATTGCGATTATATTCAAGTTGAACATTAAGTCGAGTTTTTTGTTTTTCAAATTCTAACCTGGTTAATGAAGTCAAACATGGTAAGTGGTGAGCAGAGCTGTTTCTTTTATCAAACTTTACTGACTAAACAGAGAAGGTTCCTGTCCACTGGGTCCACTCTGTAGAGCCAGCGGGACCAGGAGAGTGACCCCACTCCCCCACGGGGCGGCAGGCACCACCTGACCACTGCGGCCATCAGTTCAGGCCTCCCCAGGCCGGACCGCCTGGGATATGGGATCAGGCACTCAGCCAGGACTCCAACCGTGGCACTCTGACGTGAGGAGCTCGGGGAAACACTGAGTCACCAACCTTCCCCTCTGATGTCACAAACACACTGTAAGGAATCTGCAATGAACCTCCTCTAGTTCTCCCAGCTTTAATATCATTCAATGGTGGGCCTGGCATGGTAGCCTAGCAGCTAAAGTCCTCGCTGTGCACACCTGGGATCCCATATGGGTATCAGTTCTAATCCCGGTGGCCCCACTACTTTCCATCCAGCTCCCTGCTTGTGGCCTGGAAAGGCAGTCGAGGACGGCCCAAAGCCTTGGGACCCTGCACCCGCACTTTGGGACCCTGCACCCGCGTGGGAGACCCGGAAGAGGCTCCTGGCTTCAGACTGGCTCAGCTCCAGGCATTGCGGCCACTTGAGGAGTGAATCATCAGACAGAAAATCTTCCTTTCTCTCTCTTCTCCTTTCTATATCTGACTTTCCAACAAAAATAAATCTTAAAAAAATATCATTCAATATCACATATCAGTTAATCTACTAACTCCACGCATGCTCTTTCCCCAATTCTAGATAGCCTGTCATTTCATCTGTAGACATGAAATACATAGTTAATATTCACAGCCACAAATCACCTCCAGCCTGAAAGTGGCAATAATAATCTGTAATATCAAATTGCTATCGTTGACAGATTTTCTGACAGTCTTGTAACTTGTAACTAGTGGTTTGAATCTGGATCTATACATCACACAAGGACGATTTTTTTCCACAGAAAATTAAAATACAGAACACTTCAGAAATCTGCATATCATCCTAGCTCAGGCACCATGCTGGTCCTCTCCGTGTCATTCCATCTTGAGTGGATATGCTGCCCAGCGAGTACGGCGATGTGTCTCTTAACTCTTTTATAAGCTGTACAGCTTTGCTTGCTTTCATTAATTTATAATTTACACATTTGCACTTATGTCAGTGATTCAAGTAGCGATTCACATATAAACTCCAAACTTGAGAATCTCAGAACCCGTCTCTCTCTCTCTCTGCGAAAAGGAGTCAGCATGAATCATGCAAGCTTGTTTCTGTTCCCTTCCTCCCACTCCCTGCTAACAGCATCATTTGTCCAAGAAACGTTCTAAAGTACCAACTGTATCAGACGCTGTGACAGACAGTGCTACTGCAAGAACAAGAAAAAGCCAAGTAACACTTTCTCAGAGGTTCACGCGTGCTCTCCCATCAGCTGCGTGACCCCATGAGGTAACATTCTCCTTCCCCATCTAACAGGAGAGACCAAAGCACAGACAGGGCCTGCCCCGCTTACCCGCCGAGCACGCAGTGGGGTAGACACAAGACACCCAGCCAGGAGCCAGTCTCTGCTCCACTCTGCACCCACACTGCCTGCAGGGGGAGGAAGGAATCCTCAGCCCAGCTTCTGCGCAGGAGTTTGGAGAGAGGGAGACAGAGAGAAAGAGAGAGAGAGCTGGAGGGGGGACACGGCAGCCTGCTCTGCTTCGGCAGTTTCTTCTACTGTCTATTCACATGACTTCAAGCACCACGTACATATTGAAACCCTCACATTTTGTACCTCCAGCCTGGGTTTCTTCCTCAAACTCCTTGTCTGTATATTTCACTTCCTGTTTTATGCCTCCAGTCACAAGTGACAAACATTTCAAACTTAATACCTGGAATTAATAAGGCTACCAGTTGTTAGATCAACCTAAAATTTGAGAATGTTTCTCTACATGAGAATCCTACTAAAGAAATACAGAAACAGACAAGGAAAAAAATCCACAGAATATGTAAGAATTAATAAGAAAATAATCTGAGAGAAAAAGTCTTTAAATTCTAATAAAATATATAGGTGATTAGAATACACAGGAAACATTCCATGCTGTTAGCTGGAATGACTATGTATTTTTAAAATATCACTTCTCTACTGAGAAGGCTATAAATTCAATCTGCTAAATCTATAGTTGGATTTTATATATGAATACTGAGAAAGTGAAAATTCTTGAGGAAATTTTCTGAAGTTCAGAACTGACTTCAAAACAAGAAATATGGCAAAAAAATGTCAGAGGGACACTTCACATAGTATGATTAATTAAACAAAACATAAAATGATCTCAGATATGGGTAACACCTAACAACAGGCTTGAAAAATACATGAAATAAAAACGGACAGCAGACGCTGAGAGACGTGGTGACTGGCCGCACCTTCCCGTGGGCTGTCAGCTCCGTGAGCAGGCCTGGCGGGCAAGGTCAAGGCGCAGCCACCTGGGAGCAGAGGTCAGCTCCGTGAGCAGGCCTGGCGGGCAAGGTCAAGGCGCAGCTGCCTGGAGCAGAGGGCACACTCCCCTCACGTGCGTCCAGACCATAGGGTGTCAGCAGCCTCGGGTGGGCAGTAACACAGCGCATCCTCGCAGCTCACAGTTCAAGTGACTGAGATCCAGTCACAGGAAGGTCTCTGCAGCCCTTCCCCGGAGAACACGCGTTAAACAGTCTGCTCTCAACTGTCTCTGGGATATGAGAAGACATTGTGAGCAGAAGGAAAATGAAAACACAACAAACAAACTTGCAGGATGCAGTTCTGAGGAAAATAAAGACCTTGAGATGCTTCACTTGAGAGAAGATAAATCCAGCACACGCACTGTAACTCGTACTTTATGAAGATTACAGAAAGCCGGGGGACAGGGACAGTCAGCGACAGAACAGCAGAGTGGAGGACCAAGGAGGCAGAGGCTGGGCTACAACAGGGTGACACCGTCAGGACCAGATCCCACAGGCCTTTAAAAGGACAAAGACAAAAAAGACACTAGTGTCAACAGGCTAACAAATCTGACAGCTTGACACAAACTACCACGCTCGCCCAAGAAAAACACATCCAGAAAATCCTTGTGCTTCCTGAACAAACAGCAGCACACAAGGAGGCAGAAGCGGGCAATGCCCACTTCACTGTATAGGCTGGCATCACCCTGACTTTAAAATAGGTCAGTCATCCCAAGAAAACCTACAGGCCACTAAACTTAGGGACATCTATGCAAAAATTTTTGACAAAACTTTGATTTAGCATATATGGGTAATAAAGAACAAAACTCTAAAAGGGTTTCCTGTAGGAATGCTGGACAGTTTCACATTCTACAGTTAATCCATGTAATTTACTACTATGTGTATTGGCCACTTTGAACCAATAAAAAGTGAAACCATTGGAGAAACTAACAAAACTCAACATTCACCCTAAGAATAAGGGGAAGCATTTGCCTGGCTGGAGCCTCAGCAAGCCCCCTCTGCTGGTTCACACCTTGCACACCCGATGGCCAGGCCCTGGGCTGAAGCTGAGGAGCCCGGGGCACTGCGCAGGCCTTTCTAGGGGTTATGCACCCAGTGACCTGACCACCTGTCCCCCAGGGTCTGCATTAGACGGAGCTGGAATCAGGAACTGGAGCTCCAGGTTGAGCCAGGTGCTCCTTAATTACCAGCTAACCACACCCTTTCCTCCTCCCCTAATAAGATGTACTGGGGCCAGTGCTGTGGCATAACATGTTAAACTTACGCTTGCAGCACCTGGGGCCCTTGGCCACGCTGCCTCACTTCCCTTCCAGCTCCTAGATAACGGCCTGGGAAAGCAGCCTTAGGGCCCTGTACCCATGTGGGAGACCTGGGAGAAGCTCCTGGCTCCTGGCTCTGGACCAGCTTGGTTCTGGCCATTGTGACCCTAGGGGAGCGAACCAGCAACCAGTGAATGGAAAGCCTCTCTAACTTTGCCTTTCAAAAATATCTTAAAAAGCATTTTTCTCCACCAATACAAGAGATGAGAATTCTTTTGGATCAGGCTGTATTCCTGTGCTTGCACTGTTAACCCGTGGCAGTCCCAGTCCATCTCCATGGACTCACTCAGGGTTTTCTTGCCTAGTTTTTTATGGGAACTTCAGAATCAATTTATTGAGTTTTTTCCTTAAAAAAAAAAAAAGTCCACAGGTGTATTGAGTTGGTAATTAAATTGCAGGTAAACACACACAGAGAAGTAACTGCCTTGAAATACTGATTCTTTTTTTCGTTAACCCTTCTGTTGCATCACATTGTAAGAACATGAATTTTTGTTAGCTGCTTTTTGATTAACTGAAATAGAGACTATAAGGCTTAATTTCTCTAAGTTAAAAATAATAGTTATTTTATATAAACTGGTTACCAGTATCTATTATTAAAAATACCTTTTTTGATCAATTTCTTGTTGCTGTTTAACATGTTTGTTCTCAAATTCACGAATATTTTCTACTCCAATTTCTTCACAGAAGTGCAGGAAAATATCATCTTCCACCTTTCATTTTAAAACAACTAACTTAATGATTAATTCTAGGAAATACAGACAGTGCTTAACTCTAAGTTTTTCTCTTTAGGACTTTCCCAGATTATGTACAAAATTAACCCCACCAAGCATCACTGTATTCTGAGGGGCCAGAAAATGATGCATTTAAAAAATTCTTACTCAAAAACTTAAATTGAAGCTCTGGAAGTGCGTTTATGAAGTATCCTGGCTTTATGAAGTGTTTTGACTTCATAAAATTCAAAAATTCCACTCACTTCAGTTACCCCAAAATATAATACTATGCAGAAATAATTTTACATATGTGTAATATTGCATTTTAGGCAATATAAAACAAGAGGACTAGAATTAACACGTATAAAAGATCTAGAAAGACAAGTATGAACTAAATCCAACAAAAACAACTTTTGGACTCAGATTTACAAGCCCTGCACTGCTGTGTAATTACACGGCCAGGAGAGAGACCTGACAGTAGGACTGTTGCAGACGGTCAGGTCCTAGTGGACCATGCAGTGAGCTTGATTAGCCTAAGCGGCAGATCCATCCGAGTCCTGGCAGCTGCAGGTACTTGGTCATGTGACACTTGGCACTGCCCAGACAGCACTGACCTTGTGCTAGTCTGGGAATCAACAAAGAGCAGAGCATTCACACAGACGGAAACCAGAGCTGGGCTCAACACTGCAATCATCTGAAATGACTGGAGAAGTTAGGGAAGGCTTAATCTAGAAAGGAGGTGTGGCAAGTCACTTACAAGGACTTGACATACCCGACAGGGGGATAAAGTCATGCTGCCAGCAGAGGCTACTTGACCAAATCTTTTCAGCCTCAAACCTGAGCACTAGGTCTGACATACGGTAAGTTAACAAGATGGCTGCAGCTGAAAAGGTGACCTCAAAGCAGCGCCTGGACGCCAGTCTCCCTGCTGGTGTGAGGGGCACAGACGAGGTGGCGGGGAGAGGCTGGGAGCGGAGCAGGGGATGCACCGGCCCCCATAGCTCTCAACAGACACAAGGAAGTGAATCTGGCCCCCAGTTTCTGACAGAGCACTGTGAACTAGCAGCTTCTGCTTCAGCACATCCGACATACTGTTTTTGGCAAAATGTAACACTTAGGACCTTATTTATGTTAGCTCGGAATTCTTCGACTCTCCGTTGCTGCTCTTGGATGCCTTGGTTCAACATAGTGCACTGAGACTCGATATTGAGAAGTTCACTCTGCAGCTGAGACTGATCCTGGTCAGGAAGAGAAGCGTGACAGGCGCCTTTCAGAGTCAGAGAATCCCTAAGATGGAGCTGTGTACATCTGGATAACAAGTTCAGATATCATACAAATAAGAAACCAGAGAATTAGCGTATAATCTCAATCATGGGGTGAAGTATTTAAAACTACATGATGCCACAAACATTCTAGATGCTGGTTCTAAACCCCAAAAGCTTGTACTTAAGTCTGTATTACCCGGTAAAAGGCGGCAAGATGCTTCTTTTTAATCATCTCCAATTCAGTCTGGGAGTATTTTAGTCGCACTTGAGTTCCTTGTATTAGAGTTTGTATTTGTTTCAAATCAGTTTCCTTGCGGAGTGTCTTCATCAAATCCTAAAATGAGAAATACGAGACAATTTAAAACAGCAAAGCATTTAGACTCCCTGTGTGCTCTCAGAGGTACTAACTCGCTGGTCTGCAACCAGCACGGTGGTACAGCAAAGCTAATCCTCCACCCGCGGCGTTGGCATCTCATGGGCACCAATTCAAGTCCCGGCCGCTCCACTTCCCGTCCAGCTCCCTGCCTATGGCCTAGTAAAGCAGTGGAGGACGGTCCAGGTCCTTGGGTCCCGGCACCCACATTTAAGACCCAGAAGAAGCTCCTGGCTCCCGGCCTCAAACAAGCTCACCTCTGGCTATGGCAGCCATTTTGGGAATGAACAAGCTAATGGAGATCTGCCCGTCTATCCCTCTCAAGGAAAAAAACCTCCTTTCTTTTATTAATTTACTTTGATGATAGTTGATTAGCGTGATTAGGGTCAAGGACTACAGGAAGGTGGGTGAGATCACCATTTCCGCATTCTTGTTTTCTTTCCTGTATCTGGGGGACACAGGGGAGGGCCTCCCAAATACCTCTGCCCCCTGGGATGGAGGACAGCCCCCGACACCACCCCAGGGTCCCCAATGTGCTCAAGAGGAGTCAGTAATGCAACAGTTCTGAATTACTGCCCATCTCACCACTCCAAGCATGATGACATCTCTGCAGAATCCGCTGGCTGACACGGTCCAACTTAGAGTCTCCGTTTGCCCAGATATTCACTGTCAACACTTGGCTGGGGTAGTTGATGAATTTGTTCTGTCCTGTCATGTTACAGGTGTACTCCCCAGGCTCCACTGTACTGCCATATTCCCCATGCACACTTGGACAGGCGGTCCATTGCGCCACCCCAGCCAGAGGCCCAGCTCTGACTCATGCATTCCACAGTCAGACCATGGAAACTGCAATTCTCTTAATGGATGGGGTTCGGAGTCCAGCAATTCAGTTGGGGGATCCCCAAAGAAATTTATCTGAGGTGATCCTAGATTTTTATGCACATCCATGCCCACAATCATGTCTCCTTCAGGTAGGAGCCTGGGCACTTAAGTACATCAGCCATCTGAGTGACCAAGCTGGCAAACAGCTTCCTCAAAACAAAACAAAACAAGGGCCCGGCACGGTGGCCTAGCAGCTAAAGTCCTCACCTTGCACCTGCCCAGGTCCCATATGGGCGCCAGTTCTAATCCTGGTAGCACTTCCCATCCAGCTCCCTGCTTGTAGCCTGGGAAAGCAGCTGAGGACGTCCAAAGTCTTGGGACCCTGCACCCATGTGGGAGACCTGGATGAAGCTCCAGATGTTGTGATCACTTGGGGAGTGAATCATTGGATGGAAGATCTTCCTCTCTGTCTCTCCTCCGAGCCTCTGCCACCGCAGCAAGGCCATACCCGCAGGTACACCCACCCTCAACACCACGACTACCTCAAGTGGGTCAAAGGCATCCACGTTTTTATTACAGTGGTATATTCCAGATTTACCTTTTCACAAACAATGGATGGGTGAGCAATCTCTTCCTTACACAACCAGTAGAAATAGGAGTTACAGATGTTTTCCCAAATCTTACCGATGCATAGGAAGTCAGCTTCGCTAGCACTCTTCTGAGAACTGCATCTCCCATGAGGTGCTTCCTGTGTTTCAGTGGCCACATGGACTTCTCCGCATGGACTGGCCCTGCCTCGGCTCAGCCTACCATCACACCCTGTGCGTGGCACTAGGTAAAGAGCTCCTTAGTAAGACTCGTGCTCATCTGTTTAAACTTCTAAATGTATTCAATGGCTTTACTCTCCAAGTAATAACTCTGGTTTTAGTTTAAAGCTTTGGTTCATCGGGAATTTTTTTTGACATATGGGACTTTTAGGGAGACCACTGTCGTTTTTTAAAAGTATTTGTTTATTTTTATTTGAAAGGTACATTTACAGAAAACGAGAGATAGAGAAAAAGATGTTTCTTCTGTTGGTTCACTCCCAAATTGGCTGCAATGGCTGGAGCTGAGCTGATCTGAAGCCAGGAGCCTGGAGCTTCTTCTGGGGTTCTCATGTGGTTGGTAGTGTCCTAGGCTTTGGTCTGTCCTCCACTGCTGTCCCTGGCCACAGGCAGGGGGCAGACTGGAGATAGGACGGCTGGGACACGAACAGATGTGCATTTGGGATGCCAGTGCTTGCAGGTGGAAGATTATTGTACAGTTTTTGCATTTAAGATTATATTTTCATTCCTGATCACTGAGGTTTTTACTTCATTAGGATTTCATTAATTTATTTCATGACTTTGTTAGCCTTTCAAAGGCACTGTCTTGTCTTTTTTTCTCTTTAAGATTTATTTATTTCTTTTAATGGAAAGTCAGATATACAGAGATAGAGAGGAAGATCTCCCATCCACTGTCACTCCCCAGGGGCTGCAATGGCCGGTGCTGAGCCAATCCGAAGCCACGAGCCAGGAGCCTCTTCCGGGTCTCCCACGCGGGTGCAGAGTCCCAAGGCTCTGGATCGTCCTCGACTGCCTTCCCAGGCCACAGGCAGGGAGCTGGACGGGAAGCAGGGCTGCGGGATTAGAACCAGCGCCCATATGTGATCCCGGGTGCGTGTGAGGCAAGGACTTCATCCATTAGGGTATCGCGCTGGGCCCGGCACTGTCTTTTCTATTTTAATTTATTCTGTATATGAGATTCTTTAAAGTATTCTGCGTTTTGATGACTTCTTTGATCTCAAAAGTGTACATTTTTTCTTTACGTCCAGTTTATTAAATTATGGCCAACATCATTAACACAAATCTCCGCTTTAAAAAACCATTAATTTTTGCATCTTACAGATATCTTCATTATTCCATATGTATTAAGCATTTTAATTGCTCTATGAAGTTTGTCATTTTTTATTTTTCAGACATGGATCAGTGGACAGATCTTTTCTTCCCTCTGTCATTCTGGTTTCTTGGGGCCCAGCCTGTGGTGCAGTGGGAGAAGCTTCCCCCGTGAGGCTGGCACTTGAGCTGGAGTGCCGGCCCAGGCCCAGCTCCTTCTCTTCAGATCCTGCTCCTTGCTAGGAGCCTGCGGGAGCAGCAGAGGTTGCCTGCCCAACTCAGCATCCTCTGAAATCCTCCTGTCCCACCCTTGCTCTTTGCCCCTCAAGAGATACTCTGTAGAATGTTCTAATTCTCTTTCCTCACAGGCGAGGCCTTGGGGCGCATGTCCGTTGCTCTGTTGTCCAGCCCCCAGTTCTGCGGAGTTAACTCAGCACGTCCTTCCGTCTGCTCTGCCTCAGGTGTTGCTCACAGTCCTTCCTCTAGGCTCCGCCACAGACGTGCGTGAATCAAACAGCAGATCCTCTGAATACGCTTCTCGGCACATAAGGTAAGTGGCATTTGAGGCCATGGTGCTTTTTCCTGTAGTTATAATTCCACAGTCCTTCCTGTCCAGCTTTGTAATCAGATACAAGCTTGACTTTTTAAAAAATATTTATTTATTTTATTGAAAAGGCAGCTACACAGAGAAGAGGAGAGACACAGAGGAAGATCTTCTATCCGATGATTCACTCCCCAAGTGGCTGCAATGGCCAGAGCTGAGCCGATCCGAAGCCAGGAGCAGGAATTTCTTTCTGGGTCTCCCACGCAGGTGCAGGGTCCCAAGGCCTTGGGCCGTCCTCCACTGCTTTCCCAGACCACAAGCAGGAAGCTGGCTGGGAAGTGGAGCAGCCAGGATTAGAACTGGTGCCCATATGGGATCCTGGTACTTGCAAGGAGAGGACCTTACGCTATCGTGCTGGGCCCACAAGCCTGATTTTTACAAAAGCTTTAAGCATCGCCTCGCGTCCTTGTCAGCCCTGTCCTCAGCACACCTGCAGTGGGGACCCGCGCACGTCCTCAGTGCCCATCGAGGTTTGGCTCAGAGATCACCTCCCTGTTGAATGCGTTTCTTCTCTTTGTTCCTTTTCCTCTTCTGAGCTTTGCCAATTCTCCCGCGAGCTGTGGGCTCTCACTGCTGTGTCTTTCCTGTGACCTCTTTATCCTGAGCACTCAGACCCTCTCTCATTAAGATTACTTCTGCTTAGTCTTCAAGGTTACAAATTTGGTTCTCAATGGCACGTCTCCTTCAGTTCATGTATCATACTTTTTACTTATCTCAAATCTCATGTGTCAATATTCTACAAATAACATGTTTTCACTCCCACAGAATCTTTAGTGGGGGTGGGGAGGTTGACACTGCACTGTATCTCTTTAACTCATTACACCCCACTGTCCTAGGTGTAGGATGCTCATACAGACTTAAACCCAGCAGTTAAACTAATACCCACAATTACTTTGAAATACATATGAGGTCAACGAAGTATCTGCAGAATTAAAAAACTGGGATTTAATTAACACTCGTTTCTTTGAGCCAGGCTCTCAGAATGGCGCCCTCTTGTTTTGAAAGTTCCCTAACCAGTAGCAGCCCCCACGCCAGTGACCACAGCACAACATGGCCAGTGTCCCTTACGCACTACACTACAGAGGAGCCAAAGACGCCTCTCTGCTCTCACTAGAACTTCTCAGCTCAGGAACAGGGAGGCCACCACCTACACATTACTCAGGCAGGACTGCAAAGAACACACGCTCCTACTGTTGAACGTGTCCAGCCCAGGACGGCCCTGTGCTCTGAATCTCCCCCACATGCCTTTGCGGCTCCAGGCAGCCCCCGACGACCCACGCGTAGCTGTCATTGGTGCCAACAGCACACACAGAAGGGAACTTGGCATGGATATGTACGGCAAGGTTCCTTTCAATCTGCCACATTCCAGAACTTATCTTGTGCTTCTATCTACATCTATAAAACTCAACCTTACCATAACCACACTTAGACTAAAACATAAAACATGCTCTCACACTCACATGAAAAGAAAATTAGTCAAGTAAACTTGCCTTATCTCCTTGCATCAAAAACTGGTAGTAGACATACACAGGGAACCCATGTGGGCACCGGTTTATGTCCTGGCTGCTCCACTTCTCATCCAGCTCCCTGCCTGTGGCCTGGGAAGGCAGTAGAGGACGGCCCAAGGCCTTGGGATCCTGCACCTGTTGTGGGAGACCTGGAAGAAGCTCCTGGCATTGGATTGATTTAGCTCGCCTGTTGTGGCTACTTGGGGAGTGAACCAATCAGAAGATCTATCTCTCTGTATATCTGCCTTTCCAATAAAAATTAATAAATCTTAAAAAAAACACTGAATACAAAAAATAATTATCTTACAGCAGGCTATGGGCTTAGTGTCTCTTAGAGTTACCATTTCCAGTGGACGGGAGACAAATTGAATTTTTATAAAATGGCAAGTCAGTTGGTGAAAATAAAGTTGAACCCCAGCCATCAATGTGAGCTACAAATGAACAAACATGTAAATGTCAAGTACACAGAAGTACGAGAAGGAAGTGTTACTGAGCGCTCTTCCGTCTTGAGGAGGGATGAGCGTCTACGGCCGGCAGCACCCTGCACACAGTACCTGATCTTGTCCGATCTCAGTGTCGGGATGCTTAGTACCAGTTTAGGAGAAAGAATTAGGTAGTTTCTAATCATGACACATTCTAAAATCTGTAAGCTATTACGAGTCTAGTAAATTTGGCCACATAAAGAGGTTTACAAATACACACATAATAAAAATAGTCAACTCTCAAAAGGTGAACAACAAAAAGAAATAAATGTTTTGATGCAACACATCTCAAAAACATGAGGCCAAAAGAACAAAGCGTGACAGAACAGACCACTCGTGATCGTGTGTAAATGAGTCTGCTTACACAGAAATCTAGAAGTGGGAACTCTAGTAGAAAATGGATGAAAGGAGCTCGGAGGAACTGTGTGTGTGTGTGTGTGTGTGTGAGTGAGACATGGGACACATCAGTGACTACTATGGTAAATAAATTACACCTCAACAAAGCCAACTCAAAAGTCAAACAAAACATTCACACCATATTTGACTAAGAACCAGTTTACCAACACAAGTAACTCATTTAAATAGAGTATAACATGATAATTTCAGTATTAATTTCAGAAATGGAAATCAAACAACTGGATTATGCCTTTTAACCAATCAGACTGGCTAAGATGAAAACATCTGCTGGAATCCCATACTTGCAATGTGCGTCATACAGACTCTAACTGCAGGTTTTCTTCCGGCGGGAATTCCGAGACGCCCACGGACACTGAACACACTGTCGGAGGGGTAAGTTCTACCTCAGGGAGTTCACTTGAGAGATGAATACACACCGGCTCACACACAATAATGACAACATTCACGGAGCGTTTGATACGACAGGAACTGCTCACGTTTTTCATCCCGGCTACTTAGTACTTGAAATCAGCATAAAAGGAGGCTGTTTTCATTATCTCATGATTTAAATCGTACCTTGCCTAAAAAATTCCTATTCTGTTTTTTTAAAAGATTTATTTATGTTTGTTGGAAAGTCATATTTACTGAGAGAAAGATCTTCTGCCCACTGGTTCACTCCCCAAGTGGCCACAGGTCCCAAGGCCGTGGGCTGTCCCCAGCCGCCTTTCTCAGGCCACACGCAGGGAGCTGGAAGTAAAGTAGAGCAGCCATCCATATGGGGTCAGGGTGATTGCAAGGTGAGGATTTCAGCCACTAGGCTATCACACTGGGCCCCATTTTAACCCTTTTATAGCAGGGCTGGTGCTGTAGCATGGTAGATAAAGCCACTGTCTGGGATGCCAGCTTCCAATGTGGACACCAGCTCAAGTCCCTGCTGCTCCGTTTCTGACCCAGATCCCTAGTTGTCTGGAAAGAATGGCTGACCATGGTCCAGGTGCTCAGGCCCCAGCTTCCCACATGGGGACCTGGAAGAAGCTCCTGGATCCTGCCTGGCTCACCCCTGGTCATTGTGGCCAGCGGGGAGTAAACCTGGAGATGGAAGGCCCTCTCTCTCTCTCCCTAACCCTCCCATGGCGTGGATTTACCTTCAGCTCCTGCACAAGCAGTCCTCTTTTGTCTCTCAGAGTCTTTAGCTCCTTCTCATCCCAGTATCTGGACTTATGTCGCAAGTCACTTGATCCTCCGGAGATCACCCCAGATTTTAAAAACAGTGTTCCATCAAGAGCGACAGTCTGTAAAATTGAAAAAATATATATACCTTCAAGAAAAGTACATCAAGATAAAAGTCAGAACATAAAATAGCAATTTTAACAGATGAGGATTTTGTAAACGAGAAAAACTAACTTAATTTACTAATAAAATATACAGTGCATGAAGAGACACTTCCAAACAAATCCTAAAACCTGCTTAGGGACCAGGGTGAAAGACAGCTCAACTGTCTAATCCTTGCCTTGCAGTCACAGACTCTCTTAAGGGTGCCAGTTCATGTCCCATCCTCTCCACTTCCAATACAGCAAGCTGCTTATGGCCTGGGAAAGCAGTGGAGAATGGCCTGAGTCCTTGGGACCCTGTTCTCATGTGGGAGATCTGGAAGGAGCTCCTGGCTCCTGACTTTGGATCAGCTCAGCTATGGTTGTTACAGACATCTGGAGAATGAGCCAGCAAACATATCTTTCTGTCTCTCCTTCTCTCTATAAATCTGTGTCTCCAATAGAAGTAAATTAAAAAACAACAAAAGTATAAAGTGAGGGATGTACGGCACAGAGAGAGGCTGCTGGGGACCCTGCACCTCACACTGCAGTCCCTGGGTCTGAGTCTCTGCTACACTCCCAACTCCAGCTTCCCGTTCACATGCGCCCAACGAGGCACCAGGTACAAGCAGCTGGGTCCCTGCCACTTGTGCAGGAATCCCCGATGGCTCTGGTCTTCCGCCTGGCCCATCCCTAGATACTGTGGGCATTCTGGATGAAAATGGCAGAGGAGCTGGCTGCGTGTATGTGTGCCTGTCTGAGCAAACAGCAAGTGGTGGAGCCGGCTTCTCTCCCTGCTGAGTATCTTCAGACCATGCTGCTTCTTTCTGCCCAAAGCACATCTCTCTATGGAATCAAAGTTGAGAAATTCAACAGGACCTGCTGCTAAGATTCTAAACTGCCCTCAGTACATCTTGGAACCATACTGTGCATCACTAGTGACATGGTATGGAAGCCTGTCGGTATGTCACAGAACAGTTTCTAAAGTCACTGTGGGGGTGACTCCAGGAGCGTCACAACGAAGAGGGGAAGAGTTCATGTTTCTATCTGCCAACGTTCTTGCAGACCCACCAAGGGCTGCCATCAGCTCAGGGACCACCTCAGCTGGCCACAGCAAACCAAGGTCAGCAAGGGCAAGCGAAGCAGGCAGTTCAGCCCAACACACGAGAACAGTGACCGGAGAGAGGGGTCCAGACATGCACACGACAAACAGACCCTGACTGTGGCTGCACCACAGGGGCCAGGGGTGCAAGGAGCATCAAAGAATCTGGAATTCCCAGAGTTAAGGACTCAGAATGTGAAGGGACTCAGTGAGCTGGCAGAGACTGCTGAGGAAGAACAGCTTGGCACGAAACAGAGACACGGAAGGGAGCCCTGGGCCACTCTGGCAACTAGGGAGAGGTCTGACCTAAGCACAGTCAGAGGCGATGGTGTGAATTCTGTAAAACTCAACTGCAGAAAAGGAAACAAAACTTTAAAACTATTTAGGATAGCTCAACAGAAAAGCCCAGGGCTTGTCTGAATCTAGCATTAGGAGGGAAACCTTGTGGAAACAGAATTGGGGGCTCTTAGAACACCAGCACCAAGACGTGAAAAATAGAGGTCAAGATTTATAAAAAAGAATGTGCAATTAATCACAGGAGAGAAGGAGAAGAGGGGTCCACATTTCCTTTCTTCAGATGTATTAACTTTTACTTGAAAGAGTTACAGAGAGAAGCGGAGACAGAGATTTTTCATCTGCTGAGTCACTGCCCAAATGGCCACAATGGCCAGAGTGGGCTGGGAGCTGCTTCTGGGTCTCCCACACGGCTTCCTGGATCCAAGGCCTTAGGCCGTCCTCTGCTGCTTTCACAGGCCGTTACCAAGCAGGGGGATCAGAAGGGGAGCAGCCAGGACTTGAACCGTGTATTGTCTGCTATGCCACAGCGCAGTCCTTAACATTTCTGAGAAGAACAGACGCTACACTTGATCTTAGCAAAAGGCCGAGAAGCGATGCCCTTACCATTTCTTTCATAATGTGTATCTTGGCATTTCTCTAAAAAATTTAGTTCTTATAGATTGTAATAAAAAATCAACATGAGAACACGTATAAACTTATCTTGTGCAGTTTTTTTCACATTACATATTCTCTATGAACTTCCCGAAGACCCCTTGTAAACAAACAATAACACGTGAAAAGTTAGTTGGTATCAACAGCAAGTTGCATGTGGATTAACTCAGATTGCAAAATAAGCACGTAAAATCTTTCCTGGCATTAAAAAAATGTATTAAAATAGAGAATGTAGAAAAAAAATCCAAGGTTCAGTAAGAACATTTATTCCATACAAAGTAAAAAAGAATAATTGCCCTAAATTATTATTATAATAAACCTAATCTACAAAATAAATTTGTTATTAGGAAATCCTATACAAGTTTTGTTTGTTTTTTAAGATTTATTTATTTTTATTTGAAAGGCTGATTTACAGAGAAGAGATAATATATTTTTAAAAACTATTTGAAAGGCAGCACTACAGAGAAAGAGAGAAGAGGCAGAGAGATCTTCCTTCCATCTGTTGGTCTCCTTCCTAAATGGCTGCAGCGGCTGGAGCTGGGCCAGTCTGAAGCCAGGAGCCAGGAGCTTCCTCCAGGTCTCCCCGAAGATGCAGCGACCCAAGTACTCGGGACACCTCTCATTACTTTCTCAGGGGAACCAGTAGGAACTGAATCAGAAGTGGAACAATCAGAACTTTAACCAATGCAGATGCAGGAGGCACGCCACAGGCAGAGGACTACTGTGCTATGCCACCAGGCCGGCCCTGGCATTTGTCCTCTAAGAACCCCGTTTAGGGACGAGAATGGTTAAGCTGCTTCCTTGAACACCTGAATCGCACACTGGCATTGTCAGTTCAGGCCCTAACTCCTCTGCTTCTTCGATGGCTTTCTACTAATGCGCCTGATAAGGCAGCAGGTGTTTTAAACACTCAGGCTCCTGCAATCCACCTGGGAATTCGGTTAGAGTTCCTGGCTCCTGGTTTCAACATGGTCCAGATTTAGCTGCTTATAGGTATTTGGGCAGTGTGACATCAGAGAACAAATCTCTGTCACCCTACTTTTAAATAAACAGCTAGAAGAGGTAGAAAATGCACAGTATGGATTTCTTATTTTTAAAAAACCTTCAGTTTAGGGCCTGGTGCAGTAGTCTAGTGGCTGAAGTCCTCGCTTTGCAATCACCGGGATCTCATATGGGCACCAGTTAGTGTGCAGGCTGCTCCACTTCTCCGCCAGCTCCCTGCCTGTGGCCTGGGGAAGCAGCAAAGGACGGCCCACAGCCTTGGGACCCTGTACATGCATAGGAAACCCGGGAGAAGCGCCTGGCTCCTGGATTTAGATCGGCTCGGCTCCGGCCATTGCAGCCATTTGCGGGAGTGAACCAGCGGAAGGAAGATCTTTCTGTCTCTTCTCTGTGTAAATCTATCTTTTCAAAAGAAAATAAATAAATCTTAAAACAAAACAAAACAAAACAAAGCAAAACAAACCAGTAACCCTCCGTTTAAAGCTGAACATTCTATAAACCACGTCAGTCCTTCCACAGAGAACACCTGCCAACACACACAAAGGTCACCGTGCGTTAGCATCAGCTTTCCAGAAGGGAAAGTCAGGGCTCTCACTTTTCGTCTTTCAGGCCCACCGAAGGCGACGTGCCGGGCCTCCTCCACCGTCTCGCACACGAGGCCGTTCCCACACACAAACTGGATCACTTTCTTCAGCTGAGGAAACTGGGTCTTTATGACATCAATCACCATTTTACAGCCTTTAATCTCTCTTAATCTCTCATTGATTGGCTTGATCTGAAAGATTATAGGTGACTTATCAGTTACATTAACAAATGCTTCTTCAACAACCACAATAACAACAAAACAAATGCTCCTTAAATTCTTAAAAAACAAACATGACAGTAAGACTCACAGTATACATTTAGAACAAAAGTTTGACAAAAACTTGGTGAACCCTAGCCTACCACAGGGTAGTTCTGGGATCACTGGCTTATTAACACTCCAAGCCGGGTAGGGGGTGGGGGCATTGGTCAAGCAGCTCAGAGATACTTGGGCAATGAGCCTGAGCCTCTCCCATCAGTTCCGTTTCTGATCCAGCTTCTTGCTAATGCACACCCGAGGAGGCCACAGATAATGGCCATCCCCTCTGGTTCCTGGGAAATGAATGTGTATAGTAGGTCTCTTTTTCGTTTTGCTTTTGAAATAAATAATTTTTAAAAACTCCATCCAAAGCCAGGAGACATAAGCTACAGACTAACTAGTTAGGACAGAACAGCACACGAGATGTGCTCTGTGGGGCTGGTGTTGTGGCATCATGGGTTAAGGTGCCGCCTGCAACACTGGCATCCTGTGTGTGTACCAGCTTGGCTGATCCACTTCCCATCCAGCTCCCTGCTGGCAGACCTGGGAAAGCCGTGCAAATGGCCCATGCCCCTGGTCCCATGGAAACCTGGAAGAAACTCCTGGCACTGGCCTGGTCCAGCCCTGGCCCATTTCGGCCATTTGGGGAGTGAACCAGCAGATGAAAAGATTCCTATCTTTCTCCAACTCTGCCTTTCAAATAAATAAAATAATCTTTAAAAAAAAAGTGCTCCTACTCTCAAAATCATAGAACCCAGTAGAAACAAAATGCCCACTGGATATGTGCCACGAGAGAACCACAGCACTGAAGAGCTTAGGAACCACCTCCCGCGCAATGACCCAGCGAGCCCTCATGCTCTCACACCCAGCTTAGGCGGCTCTACATACTTACGAGAAAAGTCTCTGAAGTGAAGCCACTGGGACCCCCAGGTGTAGGTACTGGGACACTTCAAAAGTTCGTGGGAAATGATATTTCTTACTTTGGGAAAAAATTTTTGAAATCCCTGCAGTTTTCCTCATAATACGTATTTCCCTTGCCCTTTTTGAGGTCCCTTGGATACTTGGGAACACGTATACATATGTGAGTGTACAGAAGCAATCTAAGGAATCCACTCTGAAAAAACGGACGTGCAAGGGGGCGGGTAGAAATGTTCCCTTTATATTTGACACACATCTGTGTGAGACTTGCAATTTTTTAAAAAAATGTATTTGAAAGGCAGAGTGACAGAAGAACAAAGAATGAACTTATCTTTCACGTGCTGCTTCACTCCCCAGATTGCCACAGCAGTCGAGTCTGGGCCAGGCAGAAGCCGGCCTCAGGAACTCCGGCCTGCTCTCCCGCCCTGAGCTACCTTTGGCTGTCTTCTCAAGTGAATTAGCAGGAACTGGATGTGAACAGAGCAAACAGGATTTGAACCTGACCTCAGATATGGGATGCCAGATTCACAGGTAGCAGCGTAACAATGCCCATCCCAGTTCAAGACTTTTTAAAAACTAAGTTTGGCTTGAGAAAAATCTCAGACGAGGACTAAATGAGGATTTTAAGAGAAAAGTCAATCAGGTTTGGGAAGTTATAGCGGGCAGAAGGTGTAAGCCCAAGTTTGGGAGCCCAGGAGACAGGTCTGGCCATAGCAGCTGCATTACTGCACCCTCCTGGCAGGGGCCATGCCAGGGCCTTGACAGACACCGACTCCCACAATGACCCAGGGACAACGGGATCCCTGCCCTCCAGGGCAACAGGGACTGAAGCTCAGGCAAGTGAATAACCAATCTGTAAGAGCAGGGAGCCCACGCTGCCCACTGCACACTGCCTGCCGGGAAGGGCTCAGCTCTTGGACCACACGACCACTTCCTCCCACCTATGCAAACTCCCCAAGGAGAGCACTCATGATGTCATCGGGGTCAGTCTCTGGCCGTGGCAAGGAGTCTCAGTGCACGCTGCAGGTCCCCAAGGCAGCCTGTACCCTCCAGAGCTAGCACACGGCACTCCATACAACCATCCCAGACTACAACGGCCTGATGCAGGACTGGTCAGTATCACAGTGGAGCAAGGTGACACATACGCTATGCTCTGAATTCTGATCTCAGGACCTGTGCTGTGATGGCAACAGTAACACAGACTGCAGGACACGGCTGCCAAGCTCAGGACCAGCAGGATGAAACAGCTGTGATTGTACAACACCTCCAGCATACGGAATGAGTTTAACGACCGTGCCTCCACCTAAGTCAGTTTCTACACACACTAAAAACCCAAACAGAAGAGCGTTTCCCCAGAATCCCCTGCTGCTGGCGGGCAGAGCAAGCGCTGCTACAGCAATGGCCTCATGGCCACCAAGCGCGGGCAGGGAGGCTGGACGAGAGGAAAGGACATGCAGCCGCTCGGCATCTTCCTTCCTGGCCATCACACCAACACCAGTCATTCAAATGGGCCAGTGGCTTGTCCCTGTCAAATGCCAAACACGACAAACGCTTACATCAAGGTAATCCAGAGCAAGGAACGTTTCGGGCTCAGCTCGTTCCTCTTTCAGAAATCGAATACAATCTTTTGCTACCTTCTCAGAGGTGACAACAATGGCCACCATGTACCGGCCAAAAAGCTTAGTAACAGCAAGCTGGTACTTCTTATGAATAGGATGACACAGGTCGAGCAGTCTTCCAAACTGGGCAAGTTTTAAAAAAGGAAAGAAAAATAAATGTGTTCATTAGGAATATATGTAATATATGTTTTTTCAAGAACAAAGTATCACAAAAACAAATTTTAGAAAACTATACATAATGTAGTTTCATAAGTCTCATATAAATGCATCTACATGTCATTATGAAATGTTCAGACAGATATTATCACACTTCACTAGAGACTAGTGAAGAAGGCTTAGTTTTACCCAAATATGAAGAATGTTATAAGCCATCAATAATTCACTCATCATCTGTGACAGGCAACTATTCAAATGCCTTTTCGCACAGAACTGAGGTTATCTCCATGGAGCAACAGCTGATGGGATGTGTACTTCCTGTCCCATGTACTTCCCATCACCATGTACTTCCTGTTTCATACACTTCCTATCACATGTACTTCCTGTCCCATGTACTTCCTGTTTCATACACTTCCTATCACATGTACTTCCTCTCCCATGTACTTCCTGTTTCATACACTTCCTATCACATGTACTTCCTGTCCCATACACTTCCCATCACCATGTACTTCCTGTCCCATGCACTTCCTAGCACCTAAGGGCACAGATGACAGTGAAGGGGCAAGTTCACCTAACCTGCTGGAAGAACATGCTGGGTGTGCATTTAATGCCCCAGACCAAGGACCTTTCACACTGTGGGAAAACAAACCCCATTCTAAGAGGGCTTTAAATGGCCTCTCCATTTAGTGAGGGACCTTCACAGCCATCAGGAGAGGTTCTGGTTCATGTTCTCGAGTCATCAGTATTCTAAGCTAACTCTCTAGAAGGAAACGGAGTTTGTTTCTTGCTTGGCTAAGGGGTCCCAGGGGCAATCCTAGGTGTTAGCTTGTTGTCTTGGAATCAAGAATAGTCAATGTTATACTTAGAAATATTTTTTCAGGGATTCAGGTGTGATGGCTCAACTGGCTAATCCTCCCACTGCAAGCACAAGCACCCCATACAGATGCCAGTTCACATCCTGGCTGCTCCACTTCTCATTCAGCTCCCTGCTGGGGGCCTGGAAAAGCCGTGGATGATAGTCCAAAGCCTTGGGACTCCATACCCACATGGGAGTCCTGGAAAGCTCTGGATTGGCACAGCTCTGCATGTTGTGGCCCACTGGGGGAGTAAACCAGCATATAGAAGATCTATCTGTCTTTCCTTCTCTCTGAAAATCTGTCTTTAAAAAAAAAGTTTTTAAAAAATGTTTTTGCAGTCCTAGACTACCACGTTTCTGAAGTTTATGCTATTAGGGTAGCTGCCTGTTAAAACACATTGTTCATACTAGCGCAGTCATTTTTGTGAGGAGCGGAGGGGAAGAAGACTCTATGAATCAGCCTAACTCCTTCCATCACCAACATTTTGAAACCAGGATTTAGGGCCAGAAAGCAAAAGAATGCTAAAAGGAGATGAAGATGGGTAGCCAGACAGGTAGGTGAAAAGCCATGAGAGCATGTCCCACTCTGCTGTGCTTTCCGCCAGGCAGCGGTCTGCAGTGTGCGATGCTGAAGCCATCAACATGGGGGCTGTGCAGCATTTGCTGAAGAGAGCCAGATGTCTGGGTTCTGCCACCAAGGTGACACGGTGGGGAGGCTGGCGCCATGGCTCAGGTGACAGCCTCCTGGTCTGGCGAATGAAACACACTAGCAATATTGGGTGCACAGTCTACAGAATAAAAATATGCCAATTAAGTCTGCTGGAAATACACTCTTTTAGAAACTGACGCCATTTTAGTACACAAGATCTAGGATTACGTGTCTGGAGGACTAGACTACTCCCAGCACTTTCACCCTTTGGGGAACTGACTCTAGAACTTTCTGAATGCTGTGCTCACATCAGTGGTTCTCTCCAACTATTACTTATTCATAGACACACTGGAAATTGTTTCCATCCTAATTATCTACTATTACGAAAACATAAAAATTGTCAAATAAAACAAAAGGCTTCTGAAGTAGTTCTGCTAATAATACAAATATTTCTAATCCTAAATGAGAAGACATTCCTTTTCGCCCAACAGAAAAGCTTAGCTTAACGATTCATGCTAATTACCACGGAATCTGGGTAGAGCCTCTTAAGGTGTTCCAGAACTTCCGCTCTCCTCCGCTGACGCTTCCCCTCGTGGTTATCGATCCCAGCGTCCTGCAATTCCTCTCTGATGAGGTTCAGTTCTTCATTCACTTCGGACATCCTGGACTTGGTTTTTGCGATGTCATCAGACAGAGTTTCTTCCTGTTGTTTTTTATCTTCCAGGCAGTTACTACACAACGGTGACAAAGTTATACAGCAAGAAGAACCAGAACTTAGGAATTACAACATGCAAATATTCTTGCCCAGCTTTGCAGAGCAATTGGATAATGTTCAACCAATCTTTACAGTAACAAAACAACAAACCCAACCCTAAACCTGGGCCAGGGAATTCAGGTCCCTGTTGGCCAACTCCAACATGCATATTTCTGGACACGCAAACAGCACAGAGAACTAAAACCAGATCGTCACGAGCTTGATTACAAGACGCTGCACGAGGAGGGTCCTTGGAGTGGACACTTTGTAAGCCTTCATGACATACACTCACGATTTGTATCATAAAACATCAATGTCAACACCAAAACAAAGCTTGTCTCACTGCTTTTATATATTTCTATTTTCAAAAGTTAAAGATTTTAAGTATGTAGTTAGGTACAATCTCTAACACTGAAACGTGAGGGAAGACGAAGAGTACACAGCAGAGTGGGGCGCTCATCTGAGGAAGAGGAACGCACGGGGATCTGAGAGCGAGAACATGGCAGCGAGCTGTAGACTGCTGGCCGACTGCTGCCGACTGCTGCCGACTGCTCCTACTCACCTGCATGCCTTTGTGTACTCCTCCAACTTCTCCACTCGTTTTTTATGATCTTCTATTTGTTCTTTTATTTGTTTTAGATTCCCCTAAGATAGGAAATGAAACTCATGATCAATTATAGCAATTTCAAACCACAAAAGACCATGCTTAGAATTTACTAAATATCAAGTGCAATTTTTAAATAGAAGGAATTTAATTACATGAAAATATTTTGAAATTTTAAAAAGGATTATCCATTTGAAAAGTAAAGCATTACAGAGAAGAGACAAGAGTTGATCCAGGCACCAGGAAGTCGGCAGGGGTCTCCCACACGGATGGCAGGGACCATCCGCTGCCTGCTCAGGACTCATTAGCAGGCAGCTGAGTGAGAAGTGGAGCAGCAGGGATCCTAAAGAAAATTCTGATTTTGAAGAGCCCCGGTCTAGTATCAAACCTGCAGTCCCACGGATGAGGCTCCGACTGCTGCCTCCACCGTGCACTGGATCTCCGATGTGCAACAATCTTCCCTTGGTAACTTCACACACCAAGGGAATCACTCTCCTCTATATCGCTCTTTTCTCCCTCAAACAAGCACTTATCTACTAGCTACCATGTCACAGAGTAGAGATAAAATAATGACTAAGATAGTTCCTACCCTCAAAGTAGGGTGGCTGAGTATTACCACATGACAAGAATCTACAGGGTAACCCACAGGCTCACATCAGGGAGTGTCTTCACACAGTTCTGGCTCTATCCGCCAGATCATTAAACCCAAACACTGTAGTAATCTTTTTTTAATCATGTAAGGGCTTCGATTGAACTTCCTGTGTGACAGATAGCCACGGAGGACTGTGAAGCAGCAACCTGCTAAAGCGGACTAGTGGACGCATCATGCTGGCTGCCGGGCCAGGACTACCATCCAGGCCAGGAGATGGAATCAGAGGGACTCAGGCTATTGTTGTAAATGCTGGGAAAGATGGTGACCTGGACCAGGGAGAGAGCAGTAGAAACGGAGAAGTACCTGGATTTCTAGCTTATTCTGATACAGAGTCAACAAGATTTCCTGAAATAATCAGGGAGCCTCCTGTGTTTTTAACTTGAGGAACTGATTAAGACTGGCCTGCTGCACCTCAGACGCAAATGCAGAGGCTGAAGCAGCAACAGGCAGACAACGACCAAAAAAAAAAAAAAAAGGCAGCATGAAAATGTGGGCACAACACACACCCTACACGACTGCCTTTAAACCAGTGGACAGAGAACTGGCTGTTGTTCCTTTTGTCTCTGCAAATCATTCCAACAAAAATAAAGAAGTCTTTAAGAAATATTGTTAAATGTAGCATAACAGCTGTCTAGCCCATTTCTTTTAATTCAAGACAGGGAGGGAGATTACACATCCAAGAGACAAAGTGAGCTCCCATCCAGCCCTTTGCTCAACAAGCGCCTGCAACACCCAGGCCTGAGCTAGGCTGAAGCCAGGATCCAGAACTCATTCCAGGACTGCCTCAGCTGTGGAGGCTACTCAGCTGCTAAGGCCATCACCCACTGCCCTCAGCAGCTGCCCTAGCAGAAACCTGGCACGGGGAGCTGTGACCTGACCCAGAAGCTGGCATGGGGAACTGTGCCATGACTCAGAACCTGGCATGGGGAGCTATGACCTGACCCAGAAGCTGGCATGGGGAGCTGTGACCTGACCCAGAAAGAAACCTGGCATCAGGAGCTGTGACCTTACCCAGAAGCTGGCATCAGGAGCTGTGACCTGACCCAGAAAGAAACCTGGCATCAGGAGCTGTGACCTGACCCAGAACCTGGCATGGGGAGCTGTGCCATGACCCAGAGGCCCTTCTGGAGACGCAGGCATCTCTGGCATGTTAACTGGTAGACCAGATACCTGCCCCGAGTCTTACAAATGAGCACAAAGCCTAAAGGGCACACACTAAAAGCTGGGTATACCGTCACACTCACTCTGTTCTGCTCCATACATCTATCTTCAAAGACATGTCAAATGCAGAAGACATCTCAAGTCGTACTGATGGATCAAAGCCCAGAGGAGCAGAGTGATTTAGCTATTGCTGACAGCACACACTGTAAGTTGAAAAGACTGGCTGCTTGGAGCCCACGCGGAGGCAGGCCACCCAAGTCACCCCCACGCTCATCCACTCAGGACACATCACCTCCATCAGGACACTTACTTTCTCTGTACCCTGCTCCTCAGCCTACTGGATTAACACTACACCTCTCACGGAACAGATGCAAAAACAAATTTGCACGAAGGAAGGTACTGTCAATACATCTTAACCTTAAACAACACCTAAACAATACTGAGCAGCACAAACTAAAACATTTAGACTGCTCACATGTGATACACATTTATATAACAAAAGTTAACAGAAAAAGCTAATCCAGTTTGACATTGCCGCACACCCGAAGGTACCTGAACCTCCCCGTGCCGCCTCTTCTCGAACGCCAGCCGCTCCTCCTCCGCCCGCTGCGCCCACTGCAGTTTCTCCAGCTGCTGAGTCATTATAGCTACTTTCTTCCTTACTTGTTCCTTAAGTTCCTTATAATGCTCCAGCTACAGAAACAGCATCAAAACACTGCTAACGCTGGTACTAGCATGCGAATAATTTTATTAAAAGTTTCATATGAATTATATCATAGCTGACTTTAGGTTAAACAATGGAAATACAAAAACATTTATATTTAAAACAAAACTGTTGAAATAGAGCAGTAAGGTATTCTAAATTAATGCTATAATTAGATCTTAGAATATCTTACAAAAGAAAGGATAACACGGAGAAAATAGTGTATTTTTATTTAGTTATTTTGGTGTATAAAGTTACTATAAAATTAACGGAATATATAAAAATCAGTTCAGAAAATTAAGTCAATGGAACAGCTTTGGCTATCTATACTGATGACCCATCATATGTACCAAGCTGGAAACTGACTTGTCACTACCCAGCTTAAGCCACTGCACACCATCAGCTTCTCTGCCTGCTCAGAGCGACACAGCCGACTGGTTTAATCTCACGTCATGAAAGACAAGCGCCTCGAAACGGGAATGGATTACAAAGACAACGCGTGATGCTCCTGGAGCGTTACCACGCAGAAATGCTGTACCACCGCCATTTCACAAAGGAAGATAGCTCAGTCCAAATCTGGATTCTGAGCACAGATCAAAAATTTAAAGTCTCACAATTCATATTCTGAGACTAATCTCTTGATAAGCGGGATCATGCTTTACACTGTTCTAACTAAAGGGAAAGCTGATTCTGAAGCAAAGCCTCTCCTGTACGTCGCCGTTCTCACCTGACTGGCTTCCAGTTCAATGTCTCGCCCTTTGCGTAAGATTTCCTCCTCAATCTGTTTCTCGAAGCTTCTCCAGGCGCCATCCAAGTCCGCCAGCTGTGCCTCCAGGGCGCGTATGTCGTCCTCCTGCTTGGAACGCTGCTTCTCGCTGTCCTTGATGCACTTCCTGGCCATGTCCAGCTTCTGGAGGTGGTGAGAAGTGTTCTCTTTGGCTTTGATGTATTGAGGCCTCTTCTGATTCAGAAGTGCTTCAAGAGCTCTAACAAGCAAAAACAAAGAGCGAGCGTTCAAGGCGGGGAAGTGGGCACGCTGCGGGCTGCCTTTCTAGTTTTTCTGTGTATCTAAAGTTGTTCCAAAGTGAAAGCTCAGTTGTGTTTTCTCTAATAACCTGCATAAAGCCAAACCGCCAATGCCGTAAGAACTCACTTTAACTCTTTTTCTGTTTGCTGTAGTTGTCTGGTCAGTGCTCCGTGCTCCTTTTTCTTGGCTTTGACCATGTCCTCGTGACGAGAGAGGGACTCTTTGGTGGCGCTCAGATCCCTACTCACGTGTTCTAACTCGACGGTCAGAAAGTGCGCCTTCCTCTCGTTGTGGTACAGCCGAGAGAGCTGCAGCTGCGTCTTATTTAATCTCAGTTCTTCAAGGAGACTTTGGTAGCGCTCCGCCTGCAAAAGCCAGCACAGCTCACTAGCACTGAAAAGGATTTTATTCAAGATGACCACAAGTTTATCTATCCTACCAGCAACAGAGCTCTAATCCATTCTTACATCACTGAGTATTTTTACCAAAAATAGCATTACTGGCTGAGAGTTTGGGGATGTACATCTATACACTAGTAAACCAATATGTTATTTTATATTTATGATGTTGATATGCTGGTACAATGAAGTAGCATTGCTAACCTAACCCTGTTTCTGTTTTGACCTGAGTTTGGCCAGCCCACTAACATTCTGACCCGTTTCCTTCTCTGCAAGATGAAGAGCGCGGCCTGACTCAATGCTTAGCAACTTTAACCTTGGGCATATCAGGCAACATTCCTGCTACACCAAGTATTTCCTACCGACAGGGAAGAACTTCCCTAATTCCTGTACTATCAATAAAGACGTAAAGCAATGGGCTGCCTCAAGAGGACCGATACTGACCAACGCAGTGTTCCAAGGACATTACAAGGAAAGGTTAAGAAATCCGTCCACACGGAATCCTTAAGTCCTACTGATTGTCTCGTAACAGCTGCAAGCCGAAGCTGGCCAGGCTGAAGCCAGGAGCCGGGGCTCAGCTGGGTCTCCCAGGCAGGTGTTCCGGGCCTAAGCACATGCACCACCTCCCAGTGCTTCCCCAGGCACAGCAGCAGGGAGCTGGACTTGGAGCAGAGCAGCCAGGGTTTGAACTGACCCTCCGACATGGGATGCCAGTGCTGTAAGCAACAACAGCCAGGTCCCCCACAACATTGGCCCCTGGAGTATTTTATAAACTACTTCAATACAGTGACAACTACAGCCTTCCCGGCTGCAAAGCTAAGGAGACAGGAACACACCTAGGACTCTGCAGACAAGAGGAACTTCACCAGCAAGGGAGACATTCTTTATTTACATCTACTTGCTGCTGACCCTGTGTCAGGCTCTGTTTTACGAGCTGGCAATGTGGAAGAGAACAAGGCAGACCATCCCTGTTGCTGATAAAGTAGGAATCTGCCTAATGGGGCAGGGCAAGGGTCAGAAAAAAAATGAACAAATACCAAGATAATTTCACACAGAAATGTGTGTTAAAGTAAAGTAGAATAATATGACAGCACGAGGATGCTAATTTAGGCTGAGGTTGTGGACACAAACGCCTGCCAGAGGCTTAAACAAAAATCAGGACTGTGCATGCCCCGAGCTGAGACCAGAAGCAAAGCTCACCCTCCCGAGTCAAAAAAGTTGACAACAAGTTGTCATTAAAACTAAACGGTGGCCGAGATGTCCAGGAAACAGAGACCCCTTTATGAATCCTGTGCTAGACGGCAAACAGCAGGCAGCAGGACAATTCTGGAATGAAGGAATATGAGGAAGTGATATCATCATGTTAGAAGTCTTGGGATGAGTATGAGTGTTTGGCAAAGGAACCCAGGCGCCCTCTCCAAAAGGACCTATTTTGCTATGATGTAAATGTTGAGTCATGCATATTTTCGTGTTAATTTTTTAAAAAAATAAACTTTGTGATATTAAGAAAACAAAAAGTAAACAAACAAACCCCCCCCCCCAAAAGCCCTTGCGCAGGTCCAGCCATGAAAATCTAGGCACCATTTTCTAGACAGAATTATTAAAGCCCTAGGACAGCAGAGAGCTCAGCGTGCTCAGTGCACAGAGGAAGTTAGACTGGGTAAGGTTGGTAAAGTGACTCCAGGGCAATCAGAAGCATTGCATTGGGAACAACGGGCTCTCTCAAAGCACCTACCACACCACACTCCACTAGGACATTCGCCATAGAGTATGGCCTTGGCCTTGCAGGAGCCCCCAAGCCCTTAGTGCGAGTTCCTGCAGGTGTGCTGACACTGCACTGAGGACACGAGAGCCTGAGCTGAAGCCTGGTTCAACAAGGAAGCAGTCACAGGAATCCACGACCTCCCCGAGCCAGACGTTGAGCAGAATTATGAAAAATGCACACTGCTTTACTCCTCTGATTAATTTGGTATGGAAAATGATTATTTTTCTTTTAAAAAATCTTTCTGAGAGTCAGCTTTCATCTGCCAGTTTACTCCTCAAGTGCCTACAATGGCTGTAACCACAGACATGCGCTGCAGACACAACTAGGTGCTCCAAACTGGCCGAGAGGAACCTGGCTGCTGGAGAAACATCTGCAGGAAGCCGTAGTAGCCGCCTGGAGCTGGACCCAGGTGTTGGGATTTGGGATAAGGGTGTCTTAAAAGCTGGGATAAATGCTCATTTCTGGATAATGCAGTTATTTTTCATTGCAATGTTGCTTATGTTGATTCTAATGAATTTAATCACCATTTCATATGGATCATTAAATTGTTTTTAAAACCTTAAGTTTTCATTGCAACCCCAATAACTACTGCTGTAAGTCACATGAGCACCCCCATTTTCGAAGCAGTGAGAGGGTCAGGATGTCACAGTGGAGCATCTCTGGCAGGTCCTAAACACCCTTCTGGCTTGTTTTCAGTTGGGGAGACCTGCCATTTTCTCATAGTTAACTATGCCCGCCCATTTGGGAAGAAAACTATAAAAGTGGAAGAGAGATGAGAAATGTCACCTTTTTTGAAGATCGATTTTATTTTTACTTCAAAGGCAGTTACAGAGAGAAGGTGAGACAGAAAGATGTTTCATCTGTGGTTCATTCCCCAAATGCTCACAATGGTCGGAGCGGAGCTGAACAGAAGCCAGGAGCCAGGAGCTTCCTCTGGGTCTCCCATGTGGGTGCAGGGTTCCAAGTGCTTGTACTATCCCCTGCTGCTTTCTCAGGCCCTAAGCAGGGAGCTGGATCCAGAACGGAACAGCCAGGACATGAACCAGCACCCACAAGGGATGCCGGTGCCACAGGCACAGTCAGCACCAGTCGCCCCCGAATTACCCCCGAGAGAAGCCTGGCAGCTCCAGGCAGCAGCTACCAATTCCAACGTCAGGAAGTTTCTATGTTAACAGACGCCCTCCTTACCTCTTCTTTCTCCAGCTTTGCATGTTTGCGCTCAGCAGCTACATTTTTTTTCTTATTAAAATTAAACTGTGCATCCTCTTCAGCTTTTTGCAACTTTCTTTTCTTTTCCTCATATTCCCCGATCAGCTCCCCTGAAGTGCTGATTTCCTCAAAAAAATGAGTTCGTTCTTTGGGTTTTTTCATTGAAATTGACTCTACAGTTCCCTTTTAAAAACAATAAAGCACATCAAAATACAAAAATGTAGAGATGTATTTTCAAAACTACGAACCAAATAAACTAAACTACAGCCACTTACCTGAAAAACAAGACAATTTTGTGCCTTGACCACAATGCCAATCTTTTCCAACTCCGCCAAGTAAGCAGAGCGACTCACGGGACTATCATTGAAACGGAACTCTGAACATCCCCCTAAAACAAAAGGACGCAGAATGTTAAAAGGAACCAACTGTCAGCTGTCCCTCAGTAACTACTGTGGAGGCAGCAGGAACCGGGCAGTGGGCAGCTGGCTGCTTTGGGGGCAGCGGGAGCCAGGCAGTGGGTGGCTGGCTGCTGTGGGGGCAGTTGGCAGCTGGCTGCTGTGGGGGCAGTGGGGGCAGCAGGAGCCAGGCAGTGGGCAGCTGGCTGCTGTGGGGGCAGCGGGAGCCGGGCAACGGGCATAGAGATTTTTATACAAGGCAAAAATAGGTGGGCAATGAAACTCAGATGGAGATTTTTGAGGTTTAATCCAAAGACAGTGGGAAAACTAGTCAATACATGCAGTGATAAAATGTAAAATATTTATAAATTATACATTAAGATACAAGTATATTTCTAAAATGATCTATGTTTGAACTTGGCACAGTTAATAAGACACTATACATTACAAACATTTTAATGGATCAGAAAGAAAACAGTAAAAACAGAGCACAAAGCAACTTTTCACATATCTTCCAAAAATTCTAGCATAGGGTAAACAAAATATATATAAACAACTTTCAATCTTACTCAGGAAACAGAACATTCAGGACTAAACCATGTAATACAAATTCAGACACTTCACGCAAGTTGCTTTTCAGCGTTAGGCTGTCCCCAGCCGCAGCGCACCGGGGCTCGCTCAGAAGGCAGAGCGCCCGGCTGTCCCGGGGAAGCCTACCTGATCCCAACGCAGCGCCCCGAGCACAAGCGCCGGCAGCAGCGGGATCTAAAGGATGGATCCAACAGGTTCTTACTACTTTCCCATGAGATTTGCTATCCAAGATAAAAGAAAAGAGCTAGTGGAATAATAAGCTGTACTCTTCAAAAAGAGAACAGACAGCCTGACTTGGACTGAAAATCAAACTCAGAGAAAAACAAAAGCTGCTCCAAATACCTCGAATAATCCTCGCAAACGTCTTCTCTTCCCCACCTGCCTCCACATACACAATTTTCACACTGGCTGAAGAAGAAACGGGCCTTCCGATATGCGCTCCGTGAATAAGTTCCTGAATATTCTTCACTCTTAAATTAGCCGTCTTCTCTCCCATTACAAAACTGAGTGCATCCATCACATTAGACTTTCCTGGCAAACGGAAGAGATCAGAGTCACTCATCCCTCATGCCAACGGCTTTCCCAGAGCCCACTCAGGCCAGCAACACACAAAACACAGCAATGCCCGTGTCCAGACAGCCCACCCCAAGGGAGGGCCTGAGCATTTCCGGGTTGGTGACTCCTGCTTGCAGTAAGGCCAACATCACGCAAAATGTGTGTGTCTGCAGTTTTAGTGGATGAAAATAAACATATACTTATAAAAGAATGGTTCACCAAGACCAGCATTGTGATGTGTGGGTAGAGCCACTACCTGTGGCAGTGGCATCTGACAAGGACGGTAACTCGAGTCCCGGCTGCTCCACTTCCAATCCAGCTCCCTGCTTACAGCCTAGGAAAGCAGTGGAGGACGGCCGAGGTCCTTGGATCCCTGCACCCACATGGGAGACCCGGAAGAAGCTACTGTTCCCTGGTTTGGATTGGCTCAGCTCTGGCCACTGTGGTCATGAGGGGTAAACTGGGATATGGAAAACCCATCTCTCCACCTTTTTTTTTTTTTAAAGATTTATTTATTGTTACTGGAAAGGCAGATATGCAGAGAGGAGGGGAGACACAGAGAAAGATTTTCCGTCTGTTGATTCACTCCCCAAGCGGTGGCAACAGCTGGAGCTGATCCAATCCGAAGCCAGGTACCAGGAGCTTCCTCCGGGTCTCCCACATAGCTGCAGGGTCCCAAAGCTTTGGACCGTCCTCGACTGCTTTCCCAGGCCACAAGCAGGGAGTTGGATGGGAAGCTGGGCTGCCGGGATTAGAACCTGTGCCCATATGGGATCCTGGTGCCTTCAAGGCGAGGACTCTAGCCGCTAAGCTACCACACCGGGCCCCATCTCTCCATCTTACAAAGAAACTATACAGACATCGCAGCTTTTCAGAATAGTTACAAGTTTTGGAATATGTTTTTACTTTTTAAATTCTAACTTTTCATACTGCATAAAGCTTTTGTAATAACAAGATTATTTCTTTTAGAAATTCATTGTGGACATCCAAAATTTTAAAATGAGTTGCTTTTTGTTTAGAACAGTAGACCAAGCAAAGTACAAAATTAGAAAAATGTAAGGGAAAATATCACCTGAAAATCATGCTGTTCAGATGGGATTAAATAACAAACTTTGTATGTCTTTTCCTACCCAGAAAACGAAAAAGTTCCTCCTTGCAAGAGTAAATAAAAATGAGTCTCAGCCAGCAGTAGTCTAGCGCATGGATTTAGTTTTAGGGGTGAGAAGGAAGGTTGAGCATTCCGCTGAAAAGCCACTGCAATAATCCCAGTAGAAACGGGGAGTCTGACGTGCAGTGCGAAGACAGGGAGGAGTGACCAAGGGAGCAGAATGGAGTGACTGCCGACGTCCTGGCTGACACGTGAGCAAGGGCGAAGGCAGCCCCCTCGGGTGCCAGGCAGGCTGGTGGCGGCGGCCTAGGCCAGAGGTCTAGAAAAAGGCTAACTAGGACCTGGAAGGAACAATGTGGGGGAGAAGGGTGTCAGAAGGGCCTTTGGGGGGGGTGACAGTAAAAAACAGGGATTTTATTCCACGTCCCAGGGGAAGCCTATGGAGAGCTTTAAACCAGCATAGTAGATATTTAGCACTTAGTCTGTCTGAAAAACACTTGAGAGACAGATAAGAGCCGGGCAGACACACAGGGTAGGTTATGGTAAGAGCTGATGCCAGGGTTCCAACAGTTCCAGTGTCACAGCACTGAGCATCAGACAAACATGGCTGGGTGAGCAAATAGGGTACAGACCAGAAAGGGTGGGCATCTGACACAGGGAAGCCACCACTGACACCCCACGCCCCCGCCAGTGCCCGCTCTGCCTTCTGATCCAGCTTCCTGCTAACAGGCAGCCTTGGAGGTGGCACCAGGCGGCTCAGGTGTTGGTCACCCAGAGGCGAGTCCAGGCTCCTGGCTTTGGCCTGGTCCACTCCTGGCTATCTGTCTGCATTTGGGGTATGAATCTACAGATGGGCAATTTGTATCTCCTACCTTCTGAATGAAATGAAAATAAATCCAAATTTAAATAAAAAGAATCAAAAATTACAGGTTTTGGTCTGAAGAAAAAAAAAAAAGAGTAACCTGTGTGGTGGGGGCTGGGCTCCTGAGCCCTGGGACAGGGAAATGAGGGGTTCGGGTCGCTTGGCCCAGATCCTGGGGCCCCTAAAAGGTAGGCGTTGGTTTTGGGAACCCGGGGGGTGGGTCTCCAGTGGGCTTAGGTCTCCTGGCGCGGGGTCGGAGGCCCACCTTCTAGGTGGGTGTTGGGTCCATGAGCCCCAGGGATGGGGGATCCGGTGGGGCTTGGGACCTGGCTTGGGTACTTGGACGCGCCTACAAGAACATGTCCTACTTAATGAAAAAGGTGGAGCAGTGGACACAGGCCCTGCTGTAGAACATGGCAGCTCATTTGGTGCTGCAGCAGGCCAGCACTGGACAACTAGTCCAAACGACGACAGCAGAAAGACCTCAATGAATGCAGCCACTGGGCACTGGAGGGTGACACCATCCTCGGATTAGCACAATCGCAGCATTCCAGAACTATCCAAACTACCTGGACAGAACCGTCGGAATAGCACACATTCAGACTGGTTTATATGTGGCAGTTCCTCATCCCTGGGTGCTGGGACGTGTGGGAAGTTGGGAGTGGTCACCTCCTTTGTCTCTCCCCTTCTCCCAGGAACAAGAATAGCAAATTTGGAAGCAAAGAATTCACCCAATTTTCCCTAAACCTCGATCCTTCCCACCCTGATCATAATCATTATTTAAAAACAAAATTTATATTTAAAAAAACCCAACAGAGTAACTGGCAGCCCTAACTGAGTTGGTGAAGACTAAAAAGGACCAGCTTGTTGTTCAGTAAAGGCAGAGGAGGAAATCAGCGACTTCAGGTTCTACATGTCTGCTGCAAACAGCAACCCACAGCTGGAGAGCGGAGGATTCTAAAGTCAGCGGTACAAGCACGGCAGTGGCAGCTGTGGGAACGGGTGACAGCCCTCAAGGACAGAAGACCAGGAGGCCAGCAAGTGGGGTAAGAGTTGTGGAAGAGGCCAATCACCAGGGCCTGGCCAGCGAAGCCAGACACAGGTTGGTGTTGGGAGCTGGAGAGACCCTCCCTGCACCTCAGCCTCCAGCCCAGCGCCCCAGCTCCAGGTCGGTTCCTGCACCTCAGCCTCCAGTCCCAGCACCCCAGCTCCAGGTCGGTCCCTGCGGGCCCCTCCCCAGCCTCTCCCTCCTGTTCAGCCGTCCTGGGGCTTACTCCCCTTGCTGAAATGTTCTGTAAAGCGCTGTCTGTCCCTCCACGGTAATGAGCATGTCATGCATGTATGTTCCCTATGCCTTAACACAAGTCTTATTCTGCTTCCTCAGCACTCCATATAATACATGCATACATATGAAACACTAAATACACTAGGACGGAAAACATTCGCACTGAACATCTTCCTCCACGCACAACTACACAAACCAAAACATGGGAAGGTGCTCAGTTTTGGTTGGGAAATAGGAAATTATTGCTGTTTTTCAAAATTTTACTTTCACTTATGTACAGAGACAGAAAGAGAGACTGATATATCATCCATCTGGTCCACCCCCAAATGGTTGCCGACAGCCAGGCTGGGCCAGGACGAAGCCAGGAGCCAGGCGCTTCCCGGGTCTCCCCTGTGGATCCAGGGGCCCACACACTGGGCCGTCCTCTGCTACCTTGCCAAGCTCACTAGCAGGGAGCTGGACAGGAAGTGGAGCAACTGGGACTGGAACCCGTATGGGATGCTGGAGCTGCAGCAACCACAAAAGGCAATTACAGAAATCTGCCCGTGGAGCAGGCTGCCCGCTGCGATGGCCACCGCGGATCCTGACTCGGCCGCCCGGCTCCTGGGCCGTGCTAACCCACGAGGGGCAGGGATGGCTGGAGCCCCTGGGTCTGCCACCCACACGGGCACAGGCTCCCTGCTCCCTGGCTGCGGCCCAGGCCCCGCCGTGGACCGGGCCTCCAGCTCCTCCACCTCCGCCTGCTTTTTAAATTAAAACAAAGAAATTAAAAAGGACCAACTGAATTAAAGTATAAAAGGAAATATCAGCGTAATATCTGTCTAGAAGACCAAACGAAACAGATGTCAAGTAGAAACGCGGTGTTCCTCGGGCACACAGCCGGGGAAGCCCAGGAAGCGTGTGCGGTGCGTGTGCGGTGTGCGTGCAGTGTGTGTGCGGTGCGTGTGTAGTGTGCGTGTCCACGCGTGGCCCCACGGGCACCCAGGGCACCCAGGGCGACTCGGAGGGCGCCTGGACCAGAACCTTAACACGGCAAACGAGTATGAACTTGAGCAGGGAGCGTGGGCAGCAGGGAGCGAGCGGGCGGACACGGGGGTCACCCGCCCCTCGCAGTGTGGCCGCGGGCTCCCCGCACCCCGGGAGGAGCGCCCCAGGAGGCGGCAGGGGCGAGGTGGACGGGCCGGGCCGGGGGACAGGAACCGAAATGGAGGGGGGCCCAGGGCGCTGAGGTGGGGTGCAGGGTGGGCAGCCAAGGGCCCAAGTGGGGGGCCCAGGGCGCTGAGGTGGGGTGAGGGGCAAGGAGGTGGGGTGCAGGACAGGGGTTGGGGGACAGGAACCGAAGAGGGGGACCCGGGGGCTGAGGTGGGGGTGGGGAAGGCGGACGGGTGAGGAGGTGGGGAGCAGGGCGGGGGCTGGGGGACGGGTCCCGGGCTGAGGTGGGGCGGGTGAGGAGAGGGGCGCCGGCTGGGGGTTCGGAGCGGCGCTCGGGCCTGGGGTCGCTGGGGGGCCAGCCGCCGCCGCCTCACGCCCCCTCACGCCCCCTCTCGCGAAATGGCGGCCTGCGCCCGGGCGTTCCCGACTCGCTGCCCGGTTACCAGAGCCGTTGGGGCCGATGACGCAGGTGAACCTCTTGAAGGGGCCGATGAGCTGGCGGCCCCGCCACGACTTGAAGTTCTCCACGAGCAGCAGCTCCAGGTGGCCCATGGCCGCGCCCTCGAGGCCTTCGCGCCGACGCCTCGCGCGCCACCGCGGGAAAAGAGCGGGAAGCGCCGCCAAGTATCGCGAGACGCCTGCAGGCCGCGACCCGCCAGCGCCGTCACTTAGCAACCGAGTTGTTGACGTTTCCGAGGGAACGTCCCGGAACGGTCGGCCGAGGCGGGACGGCGGACGGAGACCCTCGGGGCGGACTCGTTCCCGCGGGCGCGCTTTTCTGAGGCTGCTTTCCTGGAGCCGAGTCCTCCTCTTCTCTTCCGTCGGGGTTCCAGAGCCATGGACGTGGTGCTGCCCGAGGACCTGGCTCAGGAGGCCCGCCTGGCCCAGCGGCGGCAAGCCGAGCTGTGCAGACAGCGGCGGATCTTCAACGCCAGAAACAGGCTTATCGGGGTGAGGCTGTGGGACGTGGGACGGGGGTCAGCGCCAGGGTGAGGGGGAGAGCCCTGGACATCTGGAGGAGCAGGGAGGGGGCGGCCAAGCTGACCCGGGGAAGCGCGGCTCTCTCGGAGCCTAAGGCTCAGCACTGCTGGGGGCTCCTTCCTGCTTTGTGGCAAGCCTTGTGGGGGGAGAGGTGGTGAGGAGAAGTGGGGAGAGGCCTGGGGGGTCCTTGGTATTGCAGGGCTCTTGGTCCCAAGGTCGGGGGAGGTATTTAAGGGGTCCCCCGAAAATGCAATGGAATCTGTGTTGTCTGTGGAGGGCGGGAAAAGGATCAGGGAAGGCTTCCTGGAGGAGGCAATGCCTGAAGCAAAAAGAGACAGGAAGGCCAGGAGAGGAGGCTGGGAGGTCTGCTGCGGGATTATCCTCCCAGATGCCCCAGCACAGCCCTGAGAGGGCCCAGGGCCAATGCTGTGTGTCAAGTCCCGCGGTGTCTGGCTCTGATCCCTGCACTCTGATTTCTGTTGCCAGGGGGACCCGGAAGCCTGGGACATTCAGGTGCACGACCAGAAGGTGAGAGAAGCCACCGAGAAGGCTCGGCATGAAATGCTGGGTGAGTGCCCGGGCACGTGGGCACCCGGACTCTAGACCCCACACCCCCACCTCCGTGCCGGTGCCCTGTCCAGCCTCGGCCCACTCTGTCCTGCTCCAAGTCTCCCTGTCAGCTGTACTCTGCTTCCTTGCTGTCGGCGAGGTATCCTAAGGATGAATGTGTGCTGCTCCTTTTGGGCTTGAAAAGCTCTGTAGAAAAGGCCGTAAACACACAGGCCACACGTGCGTGCCAGCGCTCACGCCCTGAGCTGGCTGGGGCCGACTGGTACTGCTGCAGGCCTCACGTCAGACTTTGGTATTCCCCTAGTATACCCAACAACTACATCAAGTGTTCAAAGTTCAGGTTTTTCTTCTTCTTAATTGGAAAGGCAGATATACAGAAAGGAGAAGAGACAGAGAGGAAGATCTTCTGTCCGATGGTTCACTCCCCCAGTGGCCGCAACGGTTGGAGCTGAGTCAATTGAAAGCCAGGCGTGAGGAGCTTCTTCCAGGTCTCCCACATGGGTGCAGGGTCCCAAGGCTTTGGGCCGTCCTCCACTGCTTTCCCAGGCCACAGGCAGGGAGCTGGAAGGGAAGTGGGGCCACCGGGACTAGAACCGGCGCCCATATGGGATCCCAGTCATGTTCAAGGCGAGGACTTTAACTGCTATGCTATTGCACCAGGCTCTCAAAGTTCAGTTTTTTAAAGCCATGAAAAAAAATTTTTTTTGAAAGGTAGATTTATAAAGAGAAGGAAAGATAGAAAAGATCTTTCATCTGCTGTTGAATCCCTGGATTGCCTCAATGGCTAGAGCCGACAGCTAGGAGCCTGTCTCCCGTGTTGGTGCAGGGGCCCAAGCACTGGGGCCACCTTCTCTGCTTCCCCAGGTGCGTTGGCAGGAAGCTGGATTGGAAGTGGAGCAGGCGGGACACAAACCAGTGCCCAGATGGGATGCTAGCTTTGCCCGCTATGCCACATCACCCAAGATTTTGCACATAAGGAAAAGGAGACACACAGTAGGCTGTCGGTTTTTAAATGTTTTCAAATTTGCTTAGAAAAAGGAGATACGAAGGCATGTTAACAAATTCATGTGCAATGAAAATTTAAAAAAAGTTTATTTTGGTGCAGAAAGTTTGGACCTGTGTATAGCCTTGTCATTATCCTCGTTGCATGAAGTTCCTTCAAGACCTTTCGTAGACCTGAATCCCGGATGGTGATGTCGGGCGGTGAGGCCGGGCGGTGATGTCGGGCGGTGAGGCCGGGTGGTGAGGCCGGGCGGTGAGGCCGGGCGGTGATGTCGGGCGGTGAGGCCGGGCGGTGAGGTTGGCTGGGCCGGCGGTGATGTCCGGGTGGTGAGGCAGTGCGGTGAGTGGGTGGTAGGCCGGGCGGTGAGGCCGGGCGGTGAGGCCGGGCGGTGAGATCGGATGGTGAGGCCGGGGAGTGCGTGAGGAGTGTCTTCCATCCTGTCCACATGTTTACATTTTAACTCTTGGTTGTCTGGTAAGCCAGGCTTACAAAGGCAGTGTGTCCAGTGGTCCCCACAAGGCCTGGGGGGCATGAGCTGCATCCGTGCCCTGGGGGAGTGCCGTGGTGGGTGTGGCTGAAGACCCCCACACCGCCCACTCCCCTTAGCTCTCTTAGCTCTCTGATGTCAGGGATCATTCTCACACATTCTGTAGCCGTGACAATGGAAATCCGCTTTTTCTGTTCTAAGTCGTGATATAGCAGGTAGCCCATTAAACAGGTGCTTTTATGCTGTATTTTTTTTTTTTCACTCGACATATTCTGGAACAACTCAGGAGCCTCACACAGGGTGTCCATCGGGATTGTTGGGTGGCGTTTCTGGCATGAGTTACCCACGGTGTGTCTCCCCCGGCGCCCCTGCTCACGGCTGGCCTAGGTCCCCCCGTTTTAACATGGCGAGTCTTGCCGTGATGCTGTGTGCTGTTTCCCATGGCGTGTGGGACAAACACACTGAGAGTTAGGAGGTGTTTGTGATTTTGTGGGGTGCTGCCAGGTTACACCCCAGAAGCAGGGAGCGTGAGGTCTCATCTCTCCGTGTCCTCTCCGATGTGTGCTGTGCTTAGCATGTTACGTCTTTTCTCCCCCGACGTGCTGGCTGCCCCCCATCCTTCGGGGCTGAGCGTCCATCGGGAGTCTATTGATTGGCCTCTTCCTACCGTGTGCCCATTTTCTGGGATGGATTGTTTGGGTTTTGGGCGTATATTTTTGTGTAGGGGGCAGGCAGTTGGGGCAGTAAGCTCAACCACCCCATCTCATAGCGCCAGTTCCAGTCCCGGCTGTTCTGTTTGCAGCCCAGCTCCTGCTGAAGCACTGGGAGATGGCCCAAGCCCAAGAGAGACCTGGAGGAGCTCCTGGCTCCTGCTCGTGGCCTCTGCCAGCCCCGGCCACTGGGTCATCTGGGGTGTAAGCCAATGGACGGGGTCTCTTTCTCTCTTTCTCTGTCACTTAGTATTTCAAATAAATAAAATATGTATTTTACTTAAGAAATATATACATCTTTTAAGAAATGCATGCGTCTCTTGCCAGCAGGCCTGATTCAGATACCCACATCCTGCTAACAAAGCTCCAGAGACACAGCAGGCGATAACACCCCCCCAGGGTCCCTGTCATCTGTGTGGGACACGGGGGCTCCTGGCTTCCGCCGGGCCCAGCCCTGGGGTCCCTGTCAGCTGTGTGAGACACGGGGGCTCCTGGCTTCCGCCTGGCCCAGCCCTGGGGTCCCTGTCAGCTGTGTGAGACACGGGGGCTCCTGCCTTCCACCTGGCCCAGCCCTGGGGTCCCTGTCATCTGTGTGAGACACGGGGGCTCCTGCCTTCCGCCGGGCCCAGCCCTGGGGTCCCTGTCATCTGTGTGAGACACGGGGGCTCCTGCCTTCCACCTGGCCCAGCCCTGGGGTCCCTGTCATCTGTGTGAGACACGGGGGCTCCTGGCTTCCGCCTGGCCCAGCCCTGGGGTCCCTGTCATCTGTGTGGGACACGGGGGCTCCTGGCTTCCGCCTGGCCCAGCCCTGGTTGCTGCAGGCATTGAAAACCTGAAGATGGAACCTTTCTTCCCATCTCCCTGCTTTTCCTACAAAAACGCTATTTAACATCAACAAGATCTGAAGTGGAGTCCGTTGTAGGAACTCGTGTTACATGGCAGGGATCCTTTCCTAATAGTTACTTTTTTTTGAGATTTGCATTTAATACTCATGAAAAAATACGTTTTTAATGTTTATCCTTTTGAGAGAGATCTTCCATCTGTTGGTTCACTTCCTGAATACCTGCATAGCCGGGCGTGGGCCGGACCAAAGCCAGGAGCCTAGAATTCGATCCAGGTCTCCCCAGCATGAGTGGCAGGGGCCCATTCAGCTGAGCTGTCACCACCTGGGCTGTGCGTTTGCAGGAAGCTGGTGCCGGGGCCACAGCTGCGAACCCAGTTACTGTGGAATGCAGGCGTCTTCATAGGTAGACCAGATGCCCTCCTGACAGAGCCCCTAGAAAAGTCCTGCGAGACCCACACTTTCCCTGAATCATAATCTCACGAGTGCGCCATGATCCTACAGCTGCCGAGATGAAACAAAACGACAAAACCCTGTGCATGTTGGAGAACCGGGAGAGGAGAGACAGGAAGACGCTCTGCAGGGCCATCAGTGACTTCCAGCAGAGCTGCCAGCGGCCCGAAACTCGCCGTGAGTTCGACCTGTCCGACCCGCTGGCCCTGCAGAAGGCGCTCCCGGCCCGGGTGTCGGACAGCGACCTCCGCAACACCATCTCGGGGATGCAGAAGTTCCTGGGCGAGGACTTGAACTTCCCCGTGAGGAAGAAGTTCCAAGAGGAGCAGAACAGGGAGTGGTCCTTGCAGCAGCAAAGGGAATGGGAGGACGTGCGAGCTGACCAGAAGGCCGCAGGTGAGGGACTGGACAGCGGCACCTCTGCCCTCGTGGAGCCCGTCACGGGTGGCCAGTCCCCAAGGGGTTATGATAATAACAGCCGAGCTGCGGGGGCTGCGGGGACCTGCCCTCCTGGGCCACACTCCCTGTCTGGCTGTTCCTCAGTGGTCACCATGGTCAGTGCCCTCCTCCCAGACGGGCAGGTGCCCCCTTCTGTCCTCCCTCTCCCCTGTTCCCCTCCCCCAGTGCCCTCCGTGTTGCCCGCAGGTCACCTTTAGTCTTCCTTGACCTCTCAAGAGCTTGTGACACGGTGGACCAGCTCCTCCTGGGTGTACATGGACACCACACTCATATGGTCCCGGTGCTGCCCAGCCTCATTTGCAGGCTCCTTCTGCCCCAGGGCGTGGCTGCTTGGCACACGGGCGCTCCCTGCGCATCCTCCTTCAGGCCAAGCTCAGCCCCCGGGTCGGCCATTTGTTCGTTGGCTCCCCTGCAGCCTGTGGCCTTCCCCGGAGAAGGCTCAAATAACCCAACCCTGCTGTTGGCCATGTTAATACCATGTTCAGGTCAGAGCTAGTCTGGTAGCACATGCCCTGCCAGCCCCAGCTGGCATCCTGGGCTCCTGCCACCGTCCCGCTGCTACGGGATTGTCGCTGCCTTCTGGTAGACTAGAGACAAAGGCAGCACCTGTCCCGGACCACAGCAAGCATCACCAATCCGCAGCGGTGATGGCAAGCACCCGGGAAGGAATCCGGCTCACTCGCTCGGCCCCTCACTCCGGGCAGGTCCTCATATTGCTGCTCTGGTCCTCCTGAGGATGCGGTTGGGGCAGACGGGCGCACGGCCATGGCCCTTGCACAGCCTTGGGTCTGAGGGTGGTGCCTCTTCCTGCAGAGGATCTGTACACACAGACAAGGCTGCAGTTTGATGAGACAGCCAAGCACCTGCAGGAGCTGCAGAGGACCACCGACCGGGCGGTGTGCACGGCAGTGGAGGAGTTCAACAGGAACCAGGTGCGGGATGGTGGGAGGGGTGGATGAGCACGGGCCATGTCTGCGCCAGCGCCGGCCTGTCTCATCCCCACCCCAGGACGGGGCAGTGCTGGGGCAGGGCTTGGCCAGCTGTCCATTTCCGTAATGTCCTAGGGGAGCGGCTACAGTGTGCGCAGCCCCTCTGCCTGCCCCCCCTCACATGGGTGCTGTGGACAGCCCCTTCCCGAGGGCTCTGCACTGGGGTACGGTGCCCCTTGGTTGTCGGGGGCTCTCTCCCCGGCTGGATTGAGATGTTGTTGTAACTGTCCTTGAAAGATAACTCCTGGCACCTCAGTCCAGTTCAGGGAGCGTGAGAGGTGGTGCGTTGCTGTCCTCCTCAGCAAAAGGTGCCCCTCCCATCCAAGGGGCATTGCCAGCGGCTGGCACTGCCCCTCCCATCCAAGGGGCATTGCCAGCGGCTGGCACAGTCTGCCTGGGTGAGTGCAGAGCAGGTCCTTCCGACTGGCCTGGATGAGTCCCTCCCGGTTGCAGTCTTTACTGTCTGTGACATGGTGGCCGCAGGGAGAGACCCCTGGGTCAGCCACACCAGGCCTGCAGAGCCCGGCAGCTTCAAGCGGAGTTGGTGTTCCCCTCTGTGTCTCGGGGGGGCGGGGATGCAGGCCCTGTTCCCTTCCTCTTGTTCGTGCTGAGCCCAGGCCCCGAGAGCAGGGCCGGGGGCGACCTGACCACCCGCCTGGCGCCCACCCGGCCCCCACTCTGCCTGGGCAGCCAGCAGGAGCCCTGGGCATGCTGGGCGGGCCTCGGGTGCAGCCCCACTCTACGCTCAGTCACCAGTGATCACTGCCAGGCTTATTCTGAGGACTCGGTGAGTGATAGCTGTTGGTGTGCTTTTTTTGGAGATTTATTTATTTAACAGGGTTGTAGAGAGAGGAGGACAGAGACTGTAGCAGCCAAGGCTGGGGCAGCTAAAGCCCTGAGCAAGCAGCTTCATCTGGCTCTCCATCTGGGCCAGGCCCTAGGCACTTGGGCCATCCGCTGCAGCTTTGCCCAGGCTGTTAGCAGGGAGCTGGATTGAAACTGGAGCAGCCGGGAGACACGAAGCAGTGCCCGTGTGGGGTGCCAGAGGCATAAGCCCTTAACCCATTACACTGTAACAGTGGCCCCAGCATTCTTTTCTTAAAAATTTGAACGGCTTGGTAAGCTAATCTTCCAGCTGCCGAGTTGGCGTCCCATATGGGTGTCAGTTTGTATCCTGGCCACTCCACTTCTGACCCAGCTCTCTGCTTTTTGAGAAAGCAGCGAGGGATTGCCCAAGTTCTTGGGACCCTTTACCCACATGGGAGACCTGGAGGAGGTTCCTGGCTCCCAGCTGCAGATCAGTTCAGCTCTGGCCGTTGTCATTTGGGGAGTGAACCAGTGGATGGAAGACCTTTTCTGTCCATCTCTCCTGTCTCTGTACAATGAAAATAAATCTTTAAAAATGTTATTTGAGTAGCAGAGAGAGAGCACACATATTCCATGACTCCCTCAGATCGGCCTCCCCGTGTGACCCCTGTGGTGGGCTGGCACCCCGCCGGCTGCTCTGTCCACCTGTTGCCCCAGACCGGTGTCCCGTGAGCCGGAACTGGGTGGTCACTGCCACAGCTCACACCCCACTCCTATGGAGGGTTAGTTTTTTTTTTTTAATTTAAATTTTTTTTTTTTTTTCTAGTATTTGAGAACCTTCCACCTCCCTAAACACACACCATCAGGGCAGGACCAGGCCAAAACCAGGAGCCTAGGTCTCCCACATGGGTGGCAGGAATTTGAAGACTTGAGCCGCGACTTGTCGCCCGGGGTGTATGTGAGCAGGAAACCAGACTGGAGCAGCACACTCACGCGCTGGGCCTTGAACCCGGGCACCTGGCATAGGATGCAGGTGTCCCTCACTGCTGTTAGCCCCCTGCCCAGGCCTGTCCCCCAGCACTCCAGGGAGTTGAGCCGTGACTTCTCCATGAGTTCGGCTGGCCTGGAGACTGTGGGCAAAGCCGTCAGGCCACTGAGGACCACGCGTCCCCTCCATTTCTAAGCCCGGGTGTCATGACTCACTCTGGTGTGTCCTTCATGGCTCATGGAAGCCCAGGCTGTGTGGGGGACATGCAGCCCTCCTGCCCTTGTGGGTCAGGGGCAAGGCCAGTGGTGGTGACCTAAGCCAGGGTGGCAGCACATCAGTGTGAAGGCTTGGGGAATCTGCAGGTGCTCAACCAGGCGAGACCCTGGGAGCGCCACACATGCCTGCCCTAAGTCTGACCCTTCTCCAAGCAGTCCCTTGATTTCCGTCCCCACCCCTCAGTACCTGCAGCCGACCCTCTGGGCCTGGGAACTCCCCTCTGCCCTGAGGTCATTGACAATACTGCCCCTAATATGTCACCCCCACCCCAGGCCCTGGAGTCAGCGGAAAGAAAAAGGCAAGAGAAGCAACAAGAGCAAGAGGCCAACCTGGCCGAGATCGCCCACCTGCTGCGCGGGGATCTGCTGAGCGAGAACCCGCAGCAGGCCGCCAGCTCCTTCGGGCCCCACCGCGTGGTCCCTGACCGCTGGAAGGGCATGAGCCGGGAACAGCTGGAAGAGATACGCCTGACCCAGCAGCAGCAAGTCCAGGAGAAGCTGGTGCCTGCCCTCCCTCGGGTGCCTGCTGCCCTCGGGCACCTGATGCCCTCTGCCCCCACAGGGGCTTTCTGCCCTGCTGAGACAAAATCCCAACGCAGCCTTCCACTTGCAGGAGAGGTGGCAAGACTGGGGTTGGGGTCCATAGCCAGACCTGAAGAAGGGGTCGGGCCTGAGATGCCCTATAGGGGCAGAGGCCACTGGGGAAGGGGGCAGCGAGCCAGGCAGACCCCAGAGGCGCTTTCAGGGCTGGAGACAGGACACTGCCCTGCTCAGGGAGTGGGGCAGCTGGGCAGGCTCTGGTCTTGGGATGGGGGTGGGAGTGGAGAGCTGGGCTGGGCCAGAGATGGCCAGGCCATGGTGGCCAGCACCCCAGCCCAAGCTGGCAGGAACAGGGTGGGTGGGTCAGCGGTGGCAATGCCAGAACCGGGGTGTGAGGAAAAGGAGGGCGGGCAGGTCAGAGCCGCACCGAGGAGGTGGGGGTTCTCAGGCCGTGGAGAGGGGCTGCTGAGGGACATCTCCCCGCGCAGAGGCTCCGGGAGGAAGAGCGCCAGCGTGATCTGGACTGGGACCGGCGCAGGGTCCAGGGTGCCCGCGCCACGCTGTTGTCGGAGCGGCAGCAGCAGCGGCAGCAACGACACCTGCGCAGGGCCCTGGACAGTAGTAACCGCAGCCTGGCCCAGGAGCAACATTCCCAGTGAGCATGATGTGGGGGAGGGAGAGACAGACCTCCCGGGGGCGGCCCCCAGCCCGCACAGGACCCTGGGGGAGTCCAGGAGGCTTCCTGGAAGAGGCTTCAAGGCTGAGACCCCAAAGGAAGATGGTGCTGGGAGCCCACCACAGGAAGGGTCCCCCTAGTCATGGTGGGGTCCACACAGACATTCGAGCAGCTTGGGGTGCGAGTCACAGGAAAACGCCAAAGGCAGGTGAACTTGTGACTTTAAACTACATCTGTTTAACAGATTTGCTTATCATGCTGTCTAAAAAAATAATGACAGAAAAAGTGACGTCTGTTATCCGCTGGTCACTCCCCAAGTGGCCAGAGCCGACCAGGTCCAAAGCCAGGAACCCGGAGCTCCGTCCCGTTGTCCCATGTGGGTGTAAGGGCCCCAGCACTGTGCTTCCCCAGGCGCATTAGCAAGGAGCTGGGCTGGAAGCTGGGACTCAGGCACCCATAGGGGATGCTGGTATCTCAGCTTAACACACCACACCTCAACCCCATCCCCAAGCTCTTGTCTTAAGCTGCAGAAGGACCCACAGCGTCTTTTGCCAGGCAGATGTTGGCCACAGACGCACCAGTTTCTGTCACTTATGTCGGGCCCTGAAAGGGGCAGGGGGAGCAGGTGGGGTGAAGCCAGCAGGACCTCAGAAGCAGCACCGTGGATTCAGTGCTGAGTCTGCCTTAGCTTTGGGATGGGCCTCGATCCATCTAAAACCCCCTAGAGGGGTGGGTGGGCAGCCGAGTGGTGGCCTGCCATTATGGGTGGACATCTGTGTTTCCATATTGGAACACCTGGATTTCCTTCTCAGCTCTGACTCCACCCCAAGTCCTTCCCGTAATGCAGACCTAGGAGCCAGCAGTCAGGGCCCAAGCCAGTGGCTTCCTGCCATCCGTGCGGGAGACTCAGATCCAGCTCCTGGCTGTCTCCCAGCTTTGGCCCGGCCATTGTGGGCATCTGGGGAGTGAACTGGTGGGTGGGGGGGGTCCCAGCTGCAAAATCTCAAAATGACTAAAGCTGCAGGTTGATTGGGAAGTGACCCGGCCCTCTGGGAAAACTCTACTGAGCTGAATGCCTGCTGATGGTAAAAAGCAGATTTATAGGCAGGGAGGAGACAGGGGAGAGAGAAATACTCCCGTTTATTCCTGCTGGGCCTGGCCAGAATCAGGTGCCTGGAGCTCCATCCAGGCTTCCCACATGGGTACCTGGGGTCCGAGGAGTTGGCCTATTTTCTGGGCTCTTCCAGGTGTGTTAGCAGGAAGCTGGAGCAGGAAGTGGAGCAGCTGGGACTCGAACCAGCACTGACACACAGGTCACAGTGTGGGCCCCCTATTTTTTTTTTTTTTGAGTGAGTTAGCTTTAAAATGCAGTCTATATCTTGGAGATAATCCTGATGAAAACTTTGTGGCTTTTCTTTAAAAAATGAAATAATTAGGAAGTACACAGATGTACTGATTTTTTTTTTTTTTGCTTTTGTTTTTTAGGAGAAAGCAGATGAATGAAGTCTATACAAACCAACCGACGGAAGACTACTTCACACAGTTTAACACAAGGAGCCGATAGTGGCAGATTGCTTCACACATAGCAACCTTACGCTGTGTGTCTTTATAAAAAACATGCAACCTCTGGCCTGGACGGGCACCCTCACAGCTGTCATCCATGCCCACAGGCACTGCTGGGGCTGCCCCTGGGTGTCAGGCAGCTGAGCTGAACTGGGGTCCGTGGGGTCCTGGAGGGTGTAGCCATGGCCCCGCTGAGGACCATTCCAGAAGGTGCTGCAGCTGGGGGCCACCCTCGGGACCAAGGCCCCAGGTGCGGCAGGCGGGCAGAGCTTTGCTGCGGATGTTCCAGGCAGCTACGCCACCCCCGACACTGCCCAGGTGAGTGCCCAGCAGGCCAAGTGACACACAAGATCGTGCTGTTTCTGCTCACTCACTCAGGAGTGATGGAGTGGGGTCTGGACCCCGCAGCGTGAACCTTGGCCACTGCACCCTCCTGCTCAGCAGCCCATGCCTCCTGTGCACCTGCGGCTCTGTGCTTCCGTCACACCCCTTGTGAGAGCCTGAGCAGGGCCGTGGGCCTGGCCCCTGCCCCCGTGGCCACTGGGGCTCCTACCTCCTGGCCCAGGCTGCTACTGCGTCTCCCACCCTGTTGCGTCCCGGTCCCTGCCCCCTTTCTGGGTCCTGACCCAGCTTGAACCTGGGCCTCGGCCTGGGGCAGCCCTTGGCACTGAGAGCACCTACACTGCTGCCCAGGCCAGGATAGTCACCACCTGGCCCCCGGGCCAAGCAGTGTTTCTCTGGACTCTGTGCCCTGACCCCCGGCTGTAGGCACAGCAGACTGCGCCCGTCTACCTGGGCAAGGGGCGCCCCCCTGCCCAGCTGCTAGGCTGGAGGGAGCCCCAGGGTACCCTGGCAGCACCCAGGGCCTTGCAGCTCAAGCCACCGTCCAGCCCTTGGGTCCTGAGCAGCCGCAGTCCTTGGGGATGGACACTGACTAGGTACTGCCTGTGGGCAGGGCCACGTTTCCCTGGTAACCTCACTAAGCACAGCACACCTGGAGGCATCGCAGGCCAGAGGCCCAGGAGGGCAGCAGGGGCAGGGCTGGCTCCTCCTGAGGGGTGCCTGGACCGTGTGTCTCCCTGTGGAATGGGAGGTAGTGTGGGCTCCTGGGGTGAGCAGCAGGCACGCTCCCTGTGCCTTGCTGTCCCACAGTCCCGTGGAGAGCTACAGACCCTGGCGGAAGAATGCGAGGAGGGCTTGTACAGGCAGACCGCAGGAACAGACGCTTAGCATTCCACAGGCCTGCAGTCATGGGCTCAGTGTCCACTCCCTGCCCGCTGAAGGACTCCACGACTTGAGGGAGCCGCGCCCTCTGCTGGCGCCCATCAGCACTACAGGACTCCCATCCCAGGCTGCAGGAACACCTGCCACACCTGGCCAGATGTGACCAGCTCCTGCCAAGGAAAAGTGGGTGCAAGCAGCTCTGTGGCCAGCCCCATTGGGAGGCAGAGCCAGGGACCGGGGCATGGCCTGGCTCGCCGCCATCGCCCGAGGCTTGACACAGTGACAGCACTCGGAAGGGATTCTGCTTCCCTTACTCCAGTTTAGGTCCCACTGAAGTTGTATCAAAATTTTCAAAGATGGGCCTGGCATAATGGCTGAGTTGCTAAAATCCTTGCTTTGCATGCTCTCAGATTCCATATGGGTGCCGATTTGTGTCCTGGCTGCTCCACTTCCCACCCAGCTCTCTGCTGGTGGCCTGGGAAAGCAGTCGAGGGCAGTCCAAAGCTGTGGGACCCTGAACCCGCGTGGGAGACCCGGATGAGCTCCAGACACCCTGCCTCCACCTGGCCCAGCCCTGGCCATTGTGGCGTTTGGGAATGAGCCAGTCAGTAGGAGCTCGGTGTGCCTGTCTCTATCTAGAAAGTCACTTGCATTTACATTAGTAGCTCCTTTCACACAGGTTCGTGTCCTGGCTGCTCCACTTCCCATCCAGCTCCCTGCTGGTGGCCTGGGAAAGCAGTCAAGGACGGGATTGGCTCAGCTCTGGCCGTTGCAGCTACTCGGGGAGTGAACCAGCAAATGGGAGATCTTTGTCTCTCCTCTCTGTGTATATCTGTCTGTCCAATAAAAATAAACCTTTAAATCAAACAAGCAAAGACTTAAGAAACAAATGGCCGATTCGGCCAGCCAGCTGGCTGAACAGACCTGGCTGTGAGACAAGAAAAGTGCCAGGATTTGTTGCAGCCCTGCAATGGGGGCTGTCTGCCGAGGCTCAGAGCCTTCTTTTGGGGATAAGATGGAATTGTTCACAGCCACACCCACTTCAGCAACAGAACCGTTCAGGGCAGCCAGCACAATGGCCAACAGCAGGTGGCGCTTCAGCCTCTCCCGCTCTGTGCCTCTGGTCTACCGCGGCAGGACGGCTGCTGGCTTCGGGGTGTGGGGTGCGGGACAGTCTGTGCAGACAGGAGCGGCCCCATGCTCCATGACTGAGCATCAGCCCTGAGCCAGATGGAGGCTGGGAGAACATGGAGCAGCCCTCCCTAGTCCCCCAGATACATCCTGCAAAGGGGGCGTCTTATCAACCACGTGGAATGTGTCTCCCTCGGGTTCAGAGTTGAGCCAAAGCCGCCGGAAGCCAGGAGCCGGGCCCAGAGCCGCATGGTCTGTTTGCCTCCCACCTCCATATGATCTGCTATAGCCCTGTCCCGTAGGCTCATAGCCCTCTTGCTTGCTACTCTTAAGATGTCTCCCTCTGCCCAGACTGGGAAAAGTGGCTTAAAAGTGATTTACTTTTGTTTGAAAGACAGAATTAGGGAGAGAGAGATGATTCACTCCCCAAATGGCCTCGATGGTTAGAGCTGGCCCAGTATGAAACCAGGAGCTCCATCCAAGTCTCCAGTGCAGGGCCCTAAGCACCCATCTTCCATTACTCTCCCAGGCCATTAGCAGGAAGCTAAAGCAGAAGCGAAGCAGCTGGGACTCCCAGGAGGAGTGGGAACCCACAGGCCTAGACGCAGCCGTGGGTGATGGAGTTGCCTGAACTCCAGGGGGAGGGCTGTCTCTTTCCTTCGGACCATTCTACAAGGCTTTGCTGTCAGCACACTGCCAGGAGGTCCGACACTGTTGATTTGGGATTTGTAGGCAGTTCCTGTGGAGGGACCTGGAACCAGCCTGCCATGCAGGGCTTACCTCGCTACCAGCCAGCTTGATATCCCCGCCTTCCCAGGGTGCACCTACCTTATGGGAACCGAGGCGCATGCTCAGACCCCGACCCCTGTATGAGAGGCCTGGGAAGTACTCTTTACCACGGACCACGGGCAGCGCTCTGACGTGTGGGGTGGTCTGCACCAGGATGGCTCTCCTAGGCCTGCGTGCGTCTCCCTCCCTCCCTGTTTCCACTCCTGCAGTGTGCATGTGGGGGCCTCTGGTGGCGATTATCTCTCTGGATGGGAAGAGAGCCAGGCCCACACTGCTACGATTTACAACAATGGGGTCCAGACCTTCCAAAGGCAGTGGAAGACACACCCACAGCCAGGCGTTCCTGTCCCTCAGGCTGTGCTGTGTGCGACTCACTTTCCCTGGAGGTCGCTTTGCTGGGCTCCCAAAACAGCATGATGACGGGAGGTCCCATGGGACATTCCTTGTCGGTCTGGGGCCTGCAGGGGCCAGGCCGTCACCACTGCATCTCTCGCCCAAGGTTACTCAGTGTCCTTGGGCAGGCCAGTGGCCGGAAATGGCCTCTTCATCCAACAGCTGGCCCTGTCTCCTCCTTTCCCAAGTCAGATGCGGGCCCAGTGATTCTTAGTATATGGAGGTCACTGCACCCCGATCCTGGCCCCATCTTGCCTGGGGAAGGTCTTGTGGCTCTGAGGGTAAGGCATGGGCAAGGCGGGCACTGGCCTTGCGGTACGCATGTCCAGAATGACCTGCTTGTGGCACTTGGAGCTCTGCCCAGGAGTCCAGCGTGATGCTGACATAGTGAATGCCATCTTCGGAACCTGCACCACAGGGTCAGCCTTGCGGCCGAGCAGGTTCAACCGCTGCTCTGCATGCCAGAATCTCATTGTGCTGGTTCCCATCCTTGCTGCCCTGCTGCTGACCCAGCTCCCTGCTGATGGACGCAGGAAGGCAGTGGCAGATGGTCCAAGGGCTAGGGCTCCTGCCGTCCGTGTGGGAGACGTGGATGGAGCTCGCCCGGCTGGTGCAGCCATGTGGAGAGTGGACAAGTGGATGGAAGATCTCTCTCCTGTTCCTCTCTCTGTCATTGCCTTTCAAATAAATGAGAACTTTCAGATCTTAGAATAACAAAGTGGAAACTTCCCCGGAGACCGTAGTACCGAGTCATACCCCACATGAGGGCAGCTGAGGCGTGGGCAGTTGTAGACTTCCTCAGGGTCTCGGGGCCAGCTAAAGGTGTGGCTTTCCTCCACGGTTGCCACAGCTGGAGCCTGGAACTCCATCTGGGTCTCCTGCTTGGGTGGCAGGGAGCCAGTGCATCCTCCACTAGCCTTCCCAGGAGCTGGACTGGAAGCAGAGCAGCCAGGACTTGAACCAGTGCCCTTGTGTAGGATGCTGGTGCTGCCAACAGCGGTTGAATCATTGCACCTCAGAACTGGCCCGTGGCAGCTTCTCAGTGTGTCAAACACAGGCTCCACTCAGGGTGCCCTCTCCAAGTGCCTACCTGCCAGTCCCACGGGATGTCTAATCGTGACTGTTTTCCTGTCTCTGCTGTATGCCTGTCCCTCCCGCCTGCCTCTTCTGCCCCTGTTTCAGCCAGTGTCCTTTCTCCCAACTGTCCAGGCCTCATGAGTTTTCTCTCTGACCTGCTGGGCAAACCTCCGGGGTCAATGCAATTGTTCAGTTGGTTAACCTTGTGCCTGTAAGTGTCGGCATACCATATAGATACCAGTTTGAGTTCCAGCTGCTCCACTGCCAATCCAGTTCTGGGCTTATGTTCCAGGAAAGCAGCAGAGGCTGGTACAAGCCCTTGGGTCCCTGAATCCACATGGGAGACCTGGAAGAATTTGCTGGCTCCTAGCCTTGGGTTGGCTCAGG